GTAGAGGGAATGAGGAGGAATGGAAAAATAACAATCAAACTCAAATATTCAGAGACTAGTATCCCAGAGTTCACCCTGACTGCAATTAATGTGCATCAAAAGTACATCTAGACTGTGCTACTATTTTGGGATGCTGGAATATACTGAAATAGCAACGCTATATCTTTAAACAAGCCTGCTATTTGTCAGAATAGTGCCTTATTTTGAAATTTGGCATGGTCTACACGGTGCCAAATTTCAAAATAAGCTCTTTTGACCTAGACTTGGAATAAGCTACGCAATTTGTGTAGTGCAAATTGCGTAGCTTATGCCAACAGAAGGATGCTGTCTAGATGCACCCTAAAACTCGAAGGAAGCTAGAAATAAGTCAGTGGGGTAGACTTGGACTTATATGGAAAAAATTATGAATACTTGTATTAAGGGTCATCTCTAGCTGCACACCCAGCTGCCCCCTTCACCACTTCTCCCTCCCTCATTGAACCCTTTCCCCCAACCCTTCCCAGCCCCCCTCCTTTCTCAAGCAATGCAGACCAGAGGTGTAGCCAGGGGCAATGGTCCCTCCTCCATATTTACTGGCAGCGGTGGAATCTGCTTGTACTACAACAAATCCAAGTAATTTGGTCCAGCAACCTAGGTAGGCACTTGATAGTATTTGTATTGCAGTAGTACCTAGATGACTCAGCTGAAAGTGGGCTTGCTTGATGCTTTATATCCATAACATGAGAATGTCTGCCTAAAAGGATTTATTAACTCTAATAGACAAGATTAGAGAGGGTCTTATTCCCATTTACAGAGAGGAAACAGAGGCACAATTAGTGACTTGCCTGAGGTTGCAAAGGAAGTCTGGAAAAGGTAGGAATTGAATTCAGGCTGTCTTGGTATCTCAATTTGAAATTCAGCTTGTTTCAGGAGTCAGACTGCAGAAATAAAGTTATGATTGACTAAGGCTATGTTCACGCAGCAGATTTAGTTTTGGAATAACTGATGTTGCCTACACTGTCAGCATTTATTTTGAAATAATGTCAAGCTGGAGGACTTCTTACTTTGACTCATGTAACCCTCATTTTACGAGGACTAAGGGAAGTTAAAACGAAGAGTGATCTTTCTTCGACTTCCTACTGTGTAGACAATTCCAGAAGCTGAAACAAGGTATTTTGACTTGTTACGCAAGTGTCGTAGCTCATATTGCATAGCTCATTCTGACTTCAGCCCTGCTATGCAGACATGCCCTAACTGACCAGTAACAGGCTGCAAGCTGAGGTATTTAATAGTTATTTAATCTACTTATATTGAGAGTTCATGCAAGAAAGAGGTTAAGTGAGAAATTTCTGGACCTCAATGGGTGTCCTCTTCATTCATGCTAGCATAGTATGTAGGCATCTGGGGACATGCAGAAGAAAGAGACCTGCCTTATCCTGAGCCAAGTTTGAATGACAGGCTGGCAGAATTATTGATCTGCTGTATAAACTTCTCATATGCCAGGAATTGGGGGATCAACAGTAGATGTGAAAAAATGACTTCAAAATAAGCCCAAGAAAATGATTGATTTCTTACCCTACCTCAATTCTTCCACACATCAAGAAAGACAAAAGATTATAAAATACGAAACAAGATCATGAAAATGAAGCACCTAAGCACAATGTGAGACTGCCTCCAGTAACTGTCCTGCAGAAGTATACATTCCTTAGGCTGTGTCTACACTGGCATGATTTTGCGCAAAAGCATGTTGCCAGTCTACACTGGCGGGGAGTTCTTGCGCAAGAACACTTACGTTCTAATGTGTGAAATCAGTGCTTCTTGCACAAGAACTATGATGCTCCCGCTAAGCAATAAGCCCTCTTTGCGCAACTGTTCTTGCGCAAGAGGCCAGTGTAGACAGGCAACATGAATTTCTTGTACAAGAAAGCCCGATGGCTAAAATGGCCATCGGAGCTTTCTTGCACAAGAGTGTCTACACTGGCACAGATGCTCTTGTGCAAAAGCACATCTCTTGCGCAAAGGCACATGCTAGTGTAGATGCTCTTGTGCAAATACTTTAATGCAAGAAGAGTATTTGTGCAAGATCATGCCAATGTAGACATAGCCCTATTGTTTAAGACATTAGCTCAAAATAAGCCTCACACAACTGAGGCCTCCTTGCTGAGCTCCTAAGTACACTTATGCCTATCAGATTTTTAAAAAGCACTTTGAGCTAGTGACAAGAATTACTTCATCTTTAATCCAAGATCATCAGTATGAACAAGCATCATGTTAAAGGGGATTAATCCCCTCTAAGAAAACAAACTCTTACATGGCCTCATCAATCATTAGGAAAGCTGAAAAGTTCATAGGAGAGCTTATACACTCTTCCACAGCTCAGAGCCATAAATGGGGAAATGTTTCTAGGCTCTACTCTGCAAGTGATGGTGATGGCAGCAGTTGCTATGCATTGCTTTTATCAGGATACGAAGTAGGAAGCAGAAAGACATTAAGGTAAGGAAATAAATGGGCAATGAAAAGGACTGCACTAGGAATGAATATTTTCACAAAGTGGTACACACCAGCAATACTGGATCAGACCAAGGCTATGGCTACACTGGTGGCTTCTTGTGCAAGAACACGTCCACACTACCATGTGCTTTTGCGCAAGAGCATCCATGGCAGTATACACCCTCTCTTGCGCAAGAAGGCTCTGATGGCCATTTTAGCCATAGGGCTTTCTTGCACAAAAAACCCCTGCTGCACAGCCACATTGCCTTCTTGTGCAAGAGGGCTTACATCTGTTAGAAAACAGCATAGCTCTTGTGCAAGAAGCCCTCTCTTCTGATGCCGTACTGTAGACCTTATTGTGCTAGAGCAGGCGGGTAGTGTGGATGCTCTGCAGGTTCATTTTACTACACATTTTGCTCTGAGCAGATACCCCTGAAAAACCAGTTAAGGGTTATGCTTTTTAGATGGGTAAGACATAGTACCAGTTATTTATTTAAAGAATCCAGTTAGAACTGGAGCCCATCATGGAATAGCTAGTAGTGGAATAGTCCTTGATTTTACAATGGCTCTGCTCACAAACCCTGCATCCAGGCAACAGATCTATTGCATATATTGTGAAATTGGCAGGTTTTCAGAAAAAATAAAAGTGGGGTGTCCTATTTTTAAGGGGACAGGAAGAAGAGAGCCTCCTCTTCCCTTACCCTCACTAGTATGAAGTCAGTTTATAGAAACAAGATAAGTTTCAGGTACTGCTCAACTTCAACCTCCTTCCTCGCCCGTCCTTTCTCCCAGGACTGGTCAAACCAATGACGTGACTCTTTCTCTTGCCTGGGTCGCCAGGAATCGGGGGCTCTCACTGACTAAGCGGAAGACAGGCTGCACTTTGCGGGGCGCGGAAATGCACAAAGCCAGCTGCAGAAGTGACGCATTTAAATGCCAGTTGCAGTCACGGGACGTGTAAGTAACTGGCGGCAGAGAGGTGCCAGAAGTACAGCGGCTTCAGCGCCCCGCTCCCCCTTGCATAAGAGCTGGGCCGGGACGGCGCACAGGCTGGGCGCTCTGTAATTACGCCGCTCAACGCAGCGGGCCGGGCGTGGAACGCGCCCCAGTCCCTAGGTGGCCTCGCCCCGCCTCGCGTGTTGCTATTGGTTCAGCCTTCGAACCCTCGCGGTCCGATCGGTGCGTCACGCACCCGACCGCTCTACCCAGTTGGCCTTGCGGCGCGCTAGTTTTGATTTGATTTTTGCCCGTTGCGCTGGCAGAGGGGGGAGGGGGCAGAGGATGGAGCTCCCGAGGCCTGGAGGCGCGCGACCCTGGGTAAGCGGGGAGGGGGATGCCCCGGCACGTCACGCATGGGGGGGGGCGAGCGCGGTCGGTCTCGGGCTCGTTTAAGCTCCGTCACCGGCCGGCTCCCTGGACTGGCGCCCCGGGCGACTCGCTGCACCGGCCCCGGGAGCCCAGCCCTAGCGTGGCGGGTGCTCTAGCGAACTGGACACGCTCCACCGGCCAGATAGCCGCGCGCGGCCAGCGTGTTGAACACCGGGGGGGGGAGGGGCTCTCACCGGCCCCTCCCTGTGTGCGGCCCATCCCCTGCGCCCCGCGCGCCCGGCTTTCCGCATGTAAAAGCGGGGAGGGGGCGGCGGTTTGTACCGAGCTGCGTAGGGAGAACTTAGGGTAACTGCTGCTTCCGGTAGTAGTATCGGACCGGAGCGGTTCCTTACTAGGGCACCACCAGGCAGCGCTCCCGGGAGCGTACTGGGCACGGCACAAAGGGGTAGCGCGCAGGGCAATTGCCTAGCGCCCCGTGCCAGAGCAGCCTCCCACCCAAGAAGCTGAGTCATTCAGGCCTTTGCTTCAGCCCCATACGATGGGGAGCGGAGGGGGTTTGGTTTTCTGCCCTGAGCCCCAGCAAGTCCTGTGCATGGCCAAGCTTCTGAAACCTTGCAGCCCCGAGGGGGCTGCAGATTCGTGGCTGAAAACCACAGATGTAGGAGGCACTAGCCTTGCCCTAAGCCCTGTGGCCTCCCATCCGCCTTCTTCCTTCCTAGCCCTCTGGTGGCTACAAGCCTTCCAGCCCATTGTCACAGCTGGGCCTTTTCACCAGCCTGGCCCCAGGAACTGAACTCTCAGGGTAAATGGGTGCTTAAAGCAATCTTTGAAAACTCAGTGGCTGTGTCTAGACTGGCCAGTTTTTCCGCAAAATCAGCTGCTTTTGCGGAAAAACTTGCCAGCTGTCTACACTGGCCACTTGAATTTCCGCAAGAACGCTGACGATCTCGTGTAAGATTGTCAGTGTTCTTGCAGAAATACTATGCTGCTCCCGTTCGGGCAAAAGCCCTCTTGCGCAAATCATTTGCACAAGAGGGCCAGTGTAGACAGCACAGTACTGTTTTGCGCAAAAAAGCCCTAATGGCTAAAATGGCGATTGGGGCTTTTTTGCGCAAAAGCTCATCTAGATTGGCACGGACACTTTTCTGCAAAAAATGCTTTTGTGGAAAAGCGTCCGTGCCAATCAAAAGCATTTGCAGAAAAGAGCATCTAAACGGAAAACTTTTCCGTGAAGCATTTGCGGAAAATCATGCCAGTCTAGACGTAGCCAGTGTCTGTGTGGTAGAGTTTTCCTGTTGCTGGTTGGGGATTTATGGGTACCTCATTCACCAGACTTCAAAACCCACGTTGTAGAGTAAAGGCTAGTCTTCAGGCAAGACTCCATGAGATGTTCCTTTTTATCACTAGCAAATAAAGGGGATAAGATAGGGCTTCTGTTACTTCAGTAAAAGTAAGCATGTTTTTTTTGTAAACCTGCAACCACTGAAATTTTCAGTGGTTACATGTTTACATGCAGGTGGTAGGTGACTCCACAGGAGCAGGTGCTCTAGCCAGTTATCAACTCCTGTAGATCTACCTCTTCCACTCGCCTGACCTCCCTGCTGCCTCTGATACAGAGGTGGCTGCAGGTGGGAGGCAGGCAGGAGAGGGTGCTTGCGGGGAGCTGGGGAGGAGGAAGAGAGGATCCCTGTGTAACTGTGAAGATTTACTGATGAGCCCAGGTTCATTGGTTAACTGTTTAAATGACTACACTGTCACATCCCTAAATAAAAGTAGCAACATTTCACAATGCTGGTGAGTAGTTTTCCCAAGTAGGGATGTTAAGAAGCAGGTAATTTGTTAATCGTATAGTAGATAAATTTTTTTTTTATTGACTACACAATTAGTTAAGGGAAATTACAGTGCTCAGTACTGACTTGTGCTGGGACCGGGATCTACCCTGCTGTGGCTCTGCAGTTTAATGGAGTAAGAGCCAGATGTGCAGCAGCCTGGTTCTTAATAACTTTAAAATTCAGGGCTACAGTGTGGGTGGGGGGGATAGGTCTCTGAGCAGGGACTGAATCATGCTGCCTGACTCTTGCTATGTTTTAAATGCAGAGCCACAATGGGGGTAGGTCCCTTCCTGCAGCTCTGCATTTAAATGCACATAGTGGCTATCATTAACTGATAAGCTTTTGCATATTGGTTAATCTACTACTCCATTACATCTCTATTCCCAATATTTCTTATTTCCTTAAAAAAACCAACAACATTGACAACTCATTAGAAGAGAGAGGTCCTGTAACTGCATCTAAAATAAATGAATTTTCTTTATTTTTCAAATATTGTTGAGACCCAAGGTCAGTGGGTCTCAAGGAATGATATTATATTTAGGGGTCTAACAGTTGATGTTCTGGCTTCTCAGCTGCCTTGGGGCTTGTTCTTACTGTGATCAATGGCTATAGAAGTAAGCCATTAGTGTGTGAAAAAGCCCAAGAGGAGTTTGTCTTTTGTACTGAACTGATGATCTCTATTTACAGTTGTAGAAAGGAAGTCCTGAACTCTGCTGGGATATATATGAAACTAATGTTTATAATTAGCTTTTGACTCCTCCAACTGCTCTATAAATGGCTCTGTTGCTGAATCTCATAAGACAACTGCTGGAATACTTTGGCATACCAACTGATCAGGTAAACTTATATTACTAGTGATTAGCAATTGACTTGATACTCCTGGTTCCTGGTTATATGGTAAGCATGAGTGAAGGCGTGTATGTGTTGTGATAGGAGATTTATGTCAGTATGTGTGAGTGGTAATGAGGGATGTGTGCTGAAGTAAGGGGTTAAATATGTTTGGGGCTATTGCATAATTTATGCACATGCCAATAAGTCTGAGTGGACATTTAACTATAATAGTTTAATTATTCTGGTAAACTTCCTTTCTTCTATGGACAAGCTGTAAGGCACATCCTGTGGTTTCACTTATCTGTTTACATTTTACCTTTATACATTAATTAGTATGTAAAGACTTCTAAGTAGCAATTCCAAACTTTTTTAGACCTTGATCATGGGAGATGTTGTGCACTTACAGTTCCTGTGGATTTCAGAAGGACTTCCAGCGATTCATCACCTGTGGATCAGGAACATAATGTCAAGAAAAACTAATGTGTCAGTCTGTTATGCAAAAACTCTTTTGGGTGTGTACTACACTGAAAATGTCCAGTACTAATTGTAGAGCCACAAGTTATAACCTTGAAGATTATTTGCTCTAGGACTGTGAAGGGTTAACAGGTAAGCATCACCCATACTGTGTGATGCTTACTAGTTATGGTTAACTGGTGGCCTATCTGTGCTGGAGCAGCCCTACCAAGGGAGGTGGTGGAATCTCCCTCTCTGGAGATATTTAAGAACAGGTTAGATAGACATCTGTCAGGGATGGTGTAGACGGAGCTTGATCCTGCCTTGAGGGCGGGGGGCTGGACTCGATGACCTCTCGAGGTCCCTTCCAGTCCTATTATTCTATGATTCTATGATTCTACCTTCCCATGTGGTAGGCCTAACCTTGCCAGAGCAACCTACCATGCCATGGATGGGGAGCACTCCAGCCACAGTGGGGGGAGAGGAGGGGAACACATATCATTAACTGATTAAATGGGATTTTATGTTCCTAATTTGCTAAGCATTTTTCAGATCTATGTGCATACTTAGACAATGTAGTAGTAAAAGCGCTATCATCTCTTGTAGGCCTCTGCTGCTACTAGTGAAACTGCACTAGTGCTAGACTAACTGTAGGAGAAGTGCTAGTAGAGAGTAATATAGAGTAGGTTGCACGGATGTGTGTGTGGGGGGAGTTTTTTGGGTTTTTTTGTTTTGTTTTTTTGCTTAAAAGTTATCTGATTTAACAATATCTTTGCAGTTCATACCAATGCTGGAAGCTCATAGAGTCAATAGCAGCATTGGCCGTATGATTGAAACATGTCTTCATTCAACACCCTTCTCAAGAAGGCACTTTCAGCGGGTATATGCTGTCATAAGGAAATGTCAGGTGCAGGTATCTTAAACTTTTGTTATTTCTGCAGCCGTTTTTGCCAGCAGTGTTATGTATTTCCAGAGACAGGCTACTGTATTGATTTGTTCCTTCTGGGTCATTCAGCAGGTTTTCTAAATACCCTCCTTTCTAGGAGGTATAGTTTGTTTCATTATCTATTGGTTTTTATGTAGAATATACTGGCACATCTTCATGTATATTCCAGAAACCTGAAATACAGTCCAGGAAGAGAGAGCCTCCTAAGGCCATTTCTGAACCGTAGCTCCATATGATGGCAAACGTTTTTTGGTAGACCAATCTAAGTACATAACTGTCAGATCCCATATGGTACAATCTCTTAATGATTTTGAAGAACTGAGTTAAAAACACAGATTTCTTTTGTTTATCTTTTAGCGTATATCAGCATGGCAACGTAAGGAATATGGATCTACACGAAGCATTGTTCGTAGACTTGGGACAATTATTTCTTTAGAATCTTGTCCAAGACCTCACTTTCAGGTAAGTGTGTTATTGCTACTCTTTAACTTTTAATATATTTAAACAAGAGATCACATTTTAAATTTAACAGTGGCTTTCCTAATGTTTTTCTTTCATGACTATGGTATACATACATCTTTTCTATTCAATGTCTTTTACTTGTGTTATACTGAGTCCCTCTTATTTGAGGCAGTTTTATTGTTGAACTTAAATTCTTTACTTTGTAGAAGCCTGACTCTTTTTTTTTTTTTTAATTAGATGGTCCAAGATCTGAATTCTTTGGATTATGATGAACGAAGTACAACTCCAAGCACTGTAGTTCCATCTCTTGGTGATATCCTGAGAGTGGTAAATGATGAGAGAAAAGCTAATGCTAGATTTAGGCAAGTAAAGACTGTGTTTATTTTGGTAGGAATGATTCAGGTCCTCTAGGCTTTGATACTGGCAATTGTCTAAACCTTTCTGAGTCCTAGTAAAGTTGACACTTTAGAAGTTAGCTCTTCTTCTTGAAGGGGGGGAGAGGCGGGAGCCACTGCCCATGGGGGCTTCCCATGAGCACCGGATTCCGTGGAGCTGCTTGCCTGCTACCCCACCTCCGTGTGGAATGTGAGAAGGGTAAGCAGGAGTTGGTATACACGAGAAGCCAGCTTTCAAGCCAGCTCCCCAAGTGTATTTGGCTTATGCAGAGTGCCTACCCCCGCCCCCGCATACTGCCTCCCAAAGAAGCAGGGTGTGGGAGGGAAAGTGAGAACCAATGCTTGGGGAGAAGCCAGCTTAATACAAAAGCAGCAGAGTGGAGGTGGGGTGTGTGCATGTATCAGGCAGCAGTGGGGTGGGGGAGGGTGGGCAGGCGGGGTGCTACCACAGCCCCTGTCCGCAGGGAGCTCAGGCCTCCCGTGGACAGGGGCTGCTACCCTGAGGCAGCCTCCACCTGTGGGGAGCTCGGGCCCCTCGGGAGCAGGGGCAGCAGGTGGGAGCCTGTCTGTGCAGGAACCAGTTTTTAAATCAGCTACCCTCACGGACTCGCTCCTGCTTGCCACCCTATGCTGCTGCCTTTGATACAGAGGCAGCAGCACAGGATGGCAGGAGGCTCCTAGGGAATGCGGCCAGGAATGCACTCGCTGCCAGCCCCAGCTCTGGGGACTCTTGAATAACCCTGTAACTCAAGAGTTCTCAAACTTTGTGATACCGCGACCCCCCTCTAAGTTGCTCAGTCGGGACCCACAGTTTGAGAAACGTGGCTGTAACTGATGAGACTTGGTGCAGTTGTACAATTATTTAAACGATATCTAACATCTCTGGTGCTTAGGAAGCGACATGCTATAAGTTTATACATGTTTAATATTTTCTAGTTATCTATCATAAGGGCTACAATGAGTGTCGAATACTCCTTGCAGTGCAACTGTCTTGTCCCTGAACCCATATATGTCTTCTGGGGCTATTTACATTCTTGGGAGTCTTACTGTGTCTCATCACCTTCCACACTCATTTCATTTCCTTGTTCACGCATCTAAATGTATACCTTCCCTCTTCCTGATTATACCCCAGAAAGCAATGTTTGTTAATTCTTTTCATGATATAATCATTCAGCATAACTATGGTGAAATGGTCAATTTCTGCTCCTGAGCAAATTGTCAAGTGTGTAAAAAAAAAAAAAAAAAAAAAAAAAAAGTGCATTTAAAAAGTGCATTTCAAGGTTTTTTTCTTACTTTTAATTTTCTTCTTACGCTTGATATTCTTTTAAAATGTTTTTATACTTAAAATACAAAATTTAGTGCTTACAAAACAATGTAGTGCAAAATGACTTTTGGAAGAGTTTAAGTTCTGAAACATTAAAGCCTAATGCTATTGTCAGTGGTGTTTTATAACTTGTTCCAGTAACATAAAAATGTATTTTTAACCTAATTCTGTTTTCTTTTTGGGAGGCATAAAACTGTTCCTATTTAGTTGAAGTTTTTAAAAGTTATATTTTTATTCTCTTAGGGCTGAATCATGGGGAGAGGAAAAAATTACTGTTGACTATGATGCATCTCCAACTATAGTTTCTTTGCCAACTGTTCTAAAGAATAGAGCAGAAAAAGAAAATCTTGTGAATGAAGAAGCAATGAAAAAAATTTCTACACTTGAAAATGAGTTATCTCTTCTTCGTGCCCAGATTGCTGCAATTGTTGCAGTGCAAGGATCAAGAAATAGCAATCAATCAGGTGAGCTTATTTTTGTTTAAACTACAGTTTTTAAATGTCGAGTTTTTTCATTTTGTTTTTATGCCTATATTACATTATTTACTTATCTAAATGTCTATGAATTAAGTGAAAAAGCATATTAAATGTTGTCAATCTGTTTCTTATATTCATAAATATTTTTTTCACTCTCTTCACTTTGCAGACAGCTCATTACCTTAAAGTTGGAGTTGATTTAAATAATCTGTTCTTCTGGTGAAACTATAAGTGTATGTGTATTATTCTGCACTGTCACATGAGAGAGTGCCTGGGCCATTGATTCAATAGTCACATCCTTTATTTTTTAAGAACAAGCAAGGAGCAACCCTATATACAGTCTGCTTAGCACCCTGCTATATAAAAGATGCTTTTGACCTTTGTTTGCTTTAATATCAAAATTTGTTTGCAGTAGGTTTTTATAATGTGGCAGGGGGGAAAAAAAAGCCCTTGAGCTAGAGGGTTTTCTTGATGCTGGGGAATTTGGTATGGGTTTATCTGAGTTTTAAATGGTTAATTATCATTTCCCTTGTACACAGTTGGTTATTGTGGTAGCATACCTAAAATTTAACCAAACATTCTAAAGAGCTGGACCCATGGCACAAAAGCAATTTGCTCTTCATTGGGTATGCCAGGGGCTACTGGATCAATGAGAATTGTGCATGTGGAGGGAGAGACTTCTTGGGGGGATGCGCGCGTGCGCGTGTGTGTGTGTTAAATTATATGGTCACATACAGTTTTTCCTCAACAGAAACCCTGCCTCATTCAGTGCATAGACTGGATCTACAAATGGATAGAATTAAGGTTGCAAAGACAGTCTTAAATCTGGCATTTCTTAAGTTTTGACTGCTTGATTTTGAAAACTAACCTTTTAATTAACAGTTCTTTTTCTTTTAATATCATCATTTCTAGTAGCACCATGTTGTGCTTGGCATTTTAAGAAAAAACAGTCCTCAGATCAGTATCTTACAATATAACCCAGATGCCTTGGACTTGGTTTGATCTTCTCAGACTTTAAGTAAATCATTATCTTAATTTAAAAAAAAAATAATGCTTATTTTCTTTCATAGGGTCAGAAGCCTTAAATTCATTTGGCACTCCAGATGGTTCTTTCCCTGTGCCCGCAATGACTTCTACACCATTGTTCACTGCACCGGATTGCTTTGTAATTCCTCCACCTCCTCCACTTCCCTCCATAGTACCATCTGCCTTTGATGCCAGTAATTCAGCAATTAAACTTATTAAACAACGTCGGGCTGCAAATAAGGCCAGCTCAACAGCTGTTGGCAATACTGAACACCAGAATACTGAGGGTGTTCTTAGTATGATGGATGTTCTGAAAGATATAAACAAGATCCGACTGCGAGTTGTTGAAAAGTAAGTTGACTTAAATGTGTATATAAGGTGAACCAAAAATATGCTGGCCCCACAATATTTAGGTAGATGCAGATAATGCTGGGATGGAAATCTCTTTAATGGATAGATGCTCATGACAACTGTCTGAGATAATAGAATAATAGAACTGAAAAGGACTTCTGCGAGGTCTTCTAGTCTAGTTTCTGCCACACAAGGTGGGGCTGAGTATTAGACCAGGGCTGGGCAAAATACAGACCATGGGCCACATCCAGCCCACCAAGCCACCAGTTCTGGCCTGCAGACACAGCAGGGAGCCTCAGCTCCTTGCCTGCCCTACCTCCTGCACACCACTCAGAAAAGTGGCTGTGGGGCCCTGTTTTTCAATTAACAACTGTGAGCCTGGGAAAGTGGGGAGAGGCTTCATGTCCTGCCTATGCCTCCAGCACAATCGCGTTGGCCAGAAACAGACCAACGGGAGCTGCCTGTTTGAAGAACAGGCAGCACGCAAAACACTCCTCCTGTCAGGCTTCCTGCTGTTTATAGACCCACATGGCCCCTTGCAGCCAGTGTAGGGCTGGGACAGTAAGGGAGTCTGCCTCAGAAACCTGCTAGGCTGCTGGCCGGGAGTCACCCAAATAAGTCTCCCAGCCAGAGCCCACTTCTGGCACCCCACTACCTCCCTCCCTCCAACCCTCTGCCTCTCTACCCCACATAACCCTAAGCCTCTGCTCCTCCTCCTTCACTCATCCCCCCACTCAGACCTTGCACCCTAATCCCCAAATCTCCAGACTAGGTCACAACACAAATCCCTGCATTCCCTCCTGCACCTCTGTCCCAAGTCACAACTGCCTCCACCCAAACACCTTCAAGACTCCACACCCCTCCTACACTCCAGTCCCTTAGTGCAGCCTCCCATCTTCACTCAACCTCCATCCCAAACCCCACACCATCTCCATTAATATCATGGAAGAATGCAGTCATTGACCACTTTCCAAATTCGTGACACCCAGGCTCCCCCATCAAAAATTGTCTTGATCTATACTCTTCCTGACAGATATGTCTTAAACTACCTATCTTAAACTGATCTGAACAAACTTTTGAGTGCACTGTGAAAAAACAATTCCTTGGGGAAATATTGGAAAACTAACAGTACAGGCAAAATACAACTAATTCTAACTTTGAAGATTTCAAAAATATTATGCTTGTGTATTAATTTATCTGAAGATTTTACTGACTCTAGAACCAAGTTCTTCAGTTTAAAAACTAAGAATTATTTGTAGCACATGGTTTTGGTCAAAATGCTAAATATATGTGATCATATAACCTAGGATTATTAAATATTTGTGCAACTGATATCTTGTGTTCAGAACCAAACTGCTCTTTTAGATGCGATACATAGGGTACTGAATTGGAATAAAAATATATTCTATGGAAGTAGGCTAACAGCTGTTTAGAGATCACCTAAAGAGTAAAACAATTTAATGTATATAAGAAAAGAGAGTGAAATCTTGACCCCAGTTGTCAGTGAGAATTTTCAGTGGGGCCAGGATTTCACTGAGGCCAGGATAGGGATGTAAATGGTTAAATGTTTAATATAACTGGTTAACTGATTGAATGGGGCCAGAGTGGGCAGGCCACTCCAGCCTAGTCCCTTTGCCCACCATGGTGGGGCTGGACTCAAATTGCTTAAGCCCTGACACTGCCTTGCATCTGCTGAGTTTCTGGGAGCCCTCTTGCACACCTAACCCCAATGGGATACTCACATTAGGTGTTCCCTCTACCTATCTCATTTGCAGGGACTAAAATGGTATGTGTGCTGTGAGCACACTTAGTCCACACAAAAGGCAGCCAGGGGCAAGCAGGTTAGGAATTTTTGTGGCTGGCTTGCTGATTCAGAATACCAGTGGATTGGGCACTAACCTGGGATGTGACCGACCTGATTTCAAGTGCCTGTTTTGTATCGGGCAGAGGAGGAATTTGAACTTGGGTCTCTTGTAGGGATGTGAATGGCTAGCCAGTTATCTGGTAAGCATCATCCTTATTAGGTGATAGTTACCAAGTAATGGTTAACTAGTTACCCGGGAGCAGTCCCTACCCGTGGCAAGGTCCGCGTAGAGAGCTGCTCCTTACTCCAGGACCAGCATTCTATTTTTGTGCACTGTATGCAGTTTGTCTTTGCTCTTTGTAGGTCACCTGGTGGTACACCTCTTCCTAAGACAAGAAAAAGGCGGAGTTCTCAGTGGGACCCAGCAGCCCTAATAGCTCATGCTCTAAAGCAGAAATTTGCACATCAAAGTGGCAATGATTCGTTGGACAAAGAAAACAGATCTTGTGATACCTCTCCCTTTTCCAGTCCAGAAGCCCCAATGGTAAGCTCTTATTTACTCTCTCACTCCCCCCCCAAAAACAATCAATAATCCCTTCCCCTGCTTAGAAGGAAAAATTATGGCTGTGTTGTGAGGAGTGTTTAATAGATTGTGAACAATATTTTTGCCCATAAAGCAGTATGCAGAGGCTGACATAACTTAGCCCCTGACTGGCTGTGCTATGTGTTATGTCAGGACCTGCCCAGCTGCTGGAGTAGCTCATGATTAGGAGGGCACAAAGGTGGTTTAAAGCCAGTATAGTTCATCCCTACCCACTGCCCTCTTACTCTTAACCTGAATATTCTGTGTGGTGCCTCTTAGAAGTGCAATACAGAATCTCATATTTCATGTATTGGTGTTCAGCAACGTTATTTTAAATCTGTTTTGAAAAATACCTTACACAATTCCAAAGCATGTTGTGGAACATCAGAAATTCTCTTGCAGCTGCCATCACATTCATGGATGGTTGATTGGTTGACTAAAGATAGGATTGATGATCCAATTTTCCAGTGAAGCTAAACATTCTCAGGAAGACTGTCTGTATTTACATCCTTTACCATAAACGTGTATTTTTGTAATTGTGCACTGAACTTGAGTAAAATTTGATATAAGAACAGTCTTCATTTTACAGATCATAATGTGAACTGGGGATGTAAAAGTGTAACTGTGTAAATAGTTAACCAATAAGCATGAACTTATTGGTTTCTTTTATGGTTAGATGCTGGCTCCCCCATGGCATCTGCAGTTTAAAAGTTAATACAAGTTACTACAGAGCTCAAAGCAGGGAGCCAGGTGTACTGCGGGCTTTGCAGAGCACAAAGTACATGTAACCGCTAGGATTTTTTACAGTTACATTTTAAAACAAATTTTTACATCCCTAAATTGCAACCAGTTGTATGTTTAATTTTGTTCAATTTCAATAAAAACTTAGCTTAATAAAATAAACTAGAAATTCACAGACAAAATCTGAATTGTATTTCAGAGATATAGAGACTTTCTATTAGGTAAACATCACGACTGATCTCAAATACAAACATCACAGAACTGATTGATCCCAGAACAAATTGAGTCAAATTGTTGGAAAACTGCGTAACTAAGTTCATGCAAGACAATTGAACTTAATTTGTCAGCTTTTAAGGCCTGTTGTCCAGCTAGGTTCCCATCAACTGAGTATGGGAGGGGGCACACATCTGCATTAGTCTATTCAAAATTTCTATGCTGCTAAAAAAGCAAATAAGTTGTTGAGTTTATCTAAGGTCTGATACAGAAGTAATAGTAAGCCTTTTTATTTAATCTGGAGTATTCATGCTTTTTATTTTTAATAATGTTGAATGTTTATTTTTGTGTTAAGTAAACACTTATACACATGAAAAGGATTGCTTAACTTCAGAAAACCTTTATGGGTTTCATTTTTTCCCAGGCTGGGGAAAACTGCAGCAGTCCTTCCAGTCTCCACTATTGTTATGTTGAAAATTTTATTCTTCTCCTGTTGTATAGTCTTAGATATTTTATAGAATTAAAATTATTTTGATTGTTTTAGGTTGGATGTAAAATTTTGAAGCCAAGCTCAAAGGACAACCCCATAAAAACTAAGGAAATAACACAGGTATCAACAGGGAAAGGAAGGGTAAATATTTAACTGGTGGTGCCACGTGGAAAAACCCAGCAACTTGCATGCTTGAGAGGCAGGACCACTTCAGGAGCAATTTCATAAAATGTACTCTGGGATATACATCGCTTCCATGTTCCAGGAGCTGTGCTTTCTAAAACTACCTCTTTTGATTGAGTATCCAACAGCCAAGCTTGTCAGTGTGTTGTCTGCTTATAAAAAATACTTTATTGGCATTCATTGCTTTATAGTTGCAGACCAGAATGTATGAAGCTAAGTTTTTGGATGCTCTGAATGGAAAGCCCAGGGATGCAGATCATATAAAAAAGATTGGATGTTTCTCAGGGTGGAGAGTGAAGTACATGTGGGAGTGTAGAAATAAAATATTAATAGCTCTGCAAATTAAGTTTTAAGCAAGTGTATACCATGTAATCAATATTAATGTGAGAATAGTGGGTCCCCCTGAGCTTTATTATATTTTCCTAAAGCAATTCAGTATTCCATGCACAAACAGTCTCTTAACTTACTATGGATCTACAGAGAAGACCTTCTTAATATGTATGTAGTGATATGACATACCAGTCTTGTCACATATGAGCTGTGTGTTAACTGCCTAGTGTGAGAGAAATTTGTGCTGTGTGGCGGCTCTGGAGAGACTTTGGCTTTAAGAAGCATAGTCTAAATTCATTATATAAATATACATTGACTATGGCTTGTTTCCCTTTTGCTTCCCTATTTTAGGTAGGGGTTTTTTTTGTACATAGTTTATAAAATAAATTTTCCTTTATGTAATTGGTGGTGGTGTCTGGTATATCATTTGCAAATTCATTATTTTAGGGTTTGGTTTTTTTATTTCTTGTGCTGCCACAGTTTTTTAAAAGATTTGGTCAACTTTTTTATTAAATTAAGCATGCCCTCTAACAGACAGTGAAAAGAGGAAAGGTAGAGCTAGAGCCGTGGTCACCAACTGGTCGATTGCGATCAACTGGTTGATCGCGAGGCCTCGACAAGTCGATCGTGAGGCGTTCAAGCCCTCCTATGGCCCCCCCCACCCCCGAGAAGCCTCACTACCTACCTCCAGTGAAAATGGAGGTAGTGCCAGCTTCCCGTGGGGTGGGCGGAAGTCCTGCAGTTTCGCGCCACTTCTGGGTGTTCCGGAAGTGCGCTGGATGCTCCCCTCCCCAAGTTCTTTGGCATGCCAGGAACTTGCCTGGGGGAGTCCCCAGAGGAGGCACGCGGGGGCTTCCCTGCGCTGCAGGAGGGGTGAGTTGCCCCTAGAGGAGGCGCGTGCGGGGGCTTTCCTGCACCGCGGGAGGGGGAGTTGGCCTCGGAGGAGGCATGCATGGGGGCTTCCCTCCTCTGCGGGCTCTCCTGTCTCCTGCTGCAGAACCCTGCTCCTTCCCCAGTACCATGTCCCCCTGCTCCCACCAGCATAGTTGGGGCCACAGTAGTGAGGCTTGGAATTTTTTTGGGAGGGTGTCTGTGTGTGTGTGGGGGGGGTGTTTGCATCTCTATTGTGTGGCCCCAACAGACTTTTCTGTGGGTCAGAGACCCCTTGACTCAAAACAGGTTCTCTGCCCTTCTCATAAATAAAGAAAATGCAGAAACTTTTTGTGTTTAACATAGTATTTTATTTAAAAATGAAGCCTGGCCCAAAAAAACCCCAGTTGGGGCCAAGCCCCCATCTGGCCACAGCATAATAACACTCCTGCACGCCCCAGGCCCTAGATCTGAGCCTATCATACACTGAAACCCCCTGCCCTGAGCCCCTCATATACCCCAACTCAAATTCCTGCATCCTCACAGCCACGAGCCTGTGGCTTGCTTAGTACTGCAACCCTCCATCTGAACCCAACACACCCCAGCCTGGAGCCTTCTCCCTGAGCCAGCATCCCCTTCTCTACCACCTCCTGCATTCAGATTTCCTCCCAGAGCTTGCACCTCTCACTCCTTTCCACACCCAAATACCTCATTTCCACCTCAGAGCCCGCACCTCCTGTCTCAACCCAGTGAGGGTATGGCTAGATGGCAGGAGTTTTTCAAGGATTCCAGAGATATCCTGGAAAAACACTTCCACATCCAGGGATGCATTTGTTCTGCTTTTTTTTAGTGGAAGAGCAAACATGCTCTTTCGGTAACCCCTATATTCCTCGTTTCACGAGGAATAAGGGGGATTCCAAAAGAAGGGTTTTTTCTAACATTTGGTCCAGTCTAGACAGGCCAAATGTTGGAAAAACCTCTTCCTACAGAAGAACTGCGGGGGGAAAGTGGCAGTGTAGCGTGTATAAGGGCTGGGGATAGCAAGAGATGGAGAGGAGGAGAATAGAGAGGGTGGGGCTTCAAGGAAAGGGTGAGGTCTTGGGGGAAGGATGGAACAGTAGATCTTGGCTTGTTCTGAGATTTAAAAAGTGATCTTGGGTGAAAGGGTTGGAGACCACTGAGCTAGAATATAATCTCTCTCTCCTACCAGAATATTTGGGGAGGAAGCCTTTTAGTTATAAATTCAATAAAGGTATCATCATTGTCCTTCATGCCCAGTGGTGTATGGGGCAGCAACAAAGGTCCTCCACTTCTCTCTGTCTCTGACCATCCTCTCAATAGTGCCCCAAGTGTAATTCATGCTCTTCATTTCTACTTCAGTGGTCCGGCGCCATGTTGTCTTGGGTCGTCCTCATTTCCGCTTCCCTTCAGGGGTCCAGTGCACAGCAATTTTTGTGAAGGAGTGTCCATCTTTCCTGAGCACGTGCCCAATGCATCTCCAGCATCTTTTTATAATGATGGTAGCCATTCTTGTTTACACCGAGCAAACAAGTCCTGATTTGAAATTATTCTTGGCCAAAATATACAGAGGATCCTCCAAAGACTTCTGGTGTGAAAAGTCAACAATGTATCGAGATCGTACTCTGTCATCCACCAGCATTCTGATACCTGTAATAGTGTTGATAAAACATAGCTCTGATAAAACTTCAGTTTGGTATAGATGCTGTACTGTGATGACTTCCATACAGCATTCAGACTCATGAAGACATTTCTGGTTTTACTGAGTCTGCTCTTGATATCACTTCTGACGCCTCCGTCTTGCCTGATAATACTACCCAAGTATGTGAAGCTCTCTGTGATAGGTAGGTTGTGGCCATCGATCTTAACTGATGCTGGTGCCTCAATATTTAGGGTCATGAATTCTGTCGTCTTCTGGCTAACTTTTAGTCCAATCTGTTTTCTGAAGGTGCAGAGTCGATAAAGTATGCTTGATATTTATAAAGTGGAAGTGATTCTTCAAGTTTTTTGTCTGCTAATATGCTAGTACCAGTGTTCAGTGCCCAAGTGGATTTTGTTTCACCCAGCTTCAGGTGGAACTCTGAAACTAGCCTGACTAGCTTGCATAGGGTGAGCAGGCCTCTGGGCTCAAGGTTAGAAGAGACAGGGGGCCCATAACTGTTAAGTTTATTTGAGCTTTCTGTTTCCGAGGAAGAGGGTCAATGTTGTGAGTTGCTTTAGGAGCAGATCTCAAATCTGGCCTGCCTTGATGTGGAAGTAGTATTGGTCTTCAGCACATGCAAATTGTTATGGGTAGTACTGATTTCCTCATGCTTGATGTCAGAGTTAAATGATTTGTCCTTACTTTGAATCTCATGGTTTATCATTTGATTTTACATCACAATTTCTTTGCTTTGTTTTATCTGTTTGTGGTTCAACACAGATTTTTTTTGTTTACACTATGAAAATGTTCAGATGTAAGTTGTATTAGTCAGTGATGGCATGTCACTCTTTTTTTTTTTTTTTTTTTTTTTTTTTTTTTTTTTTGATGTATAGGATTTCCTTCAATAATTCTGTTAGCTGAGCTAAGTTTTCCCTTTTTTGAGGCCAGGTTTACATTACATCCAGAAGGTTGGCTTAAGGTATGCAACCCCAGCTACATAAATAACTTAGCTGGAGTTGAGGTACCTTAAGCTGAGCTTGGCATAATCTCCACAGTGAGAGGTTGAGGGGAGAAACACTTTTGTTGACTTCCCTTACTCTTCATGAAAGCAATGGGGGCATCCTCAGCATTTGATTCAGCAGAGCTTTACTAGACCTGCAAAATTGAATCCTGGAAGATTGATCGCCAGAGCATTGATCCTTCTAAGTGGAGATGTGACCTGAGAGAATGGATATCCCTCCTCCCCACTTTGGGAAATGCAGAGAGTAGCTTTATGACAACAATGCTTACATTTCTAGTCAGGCTAATGTCCCCTTCACGAAAGCTCAGAACTTCAAAAAATCGTGTGTGTGTGTGGAGGGGGGATGTCAGCAAATTCTGCAGTGCTGAAAAAAACATGCACAAATATATTCAACACAGTTTTGTATGTGAATTGCAGACATAACCACAAGAGGGCAGTGTGATACCAGTATAATATCAAAGGTAGTTTTGTTTTTTATGGCAGTAGGTCTCTCCTAATAGCAAAACCGTTACCTTCTGTCTTGTCTTTTAGCTGTATTCTAGATATCACATAGGCATGCTAAAGTTCTCTAGAGATGCATGCTAATGGCTTTAAACAAACAGTATTTATGATGAACCATATTTATGTGTGCTGAGATTAGTAAGAAGTATATTTAAAGCTAAATTATTCTCTCTGAACTAAACATCAGATCTACTGTTTCGCTCTCTATGTATTTAGAAGCTTCAGTGGGGTTGCAGAGTTAGTCTGTAACAGGAAAAGCTTAAAAAACAAAGAGTCTAGTAGTACCTTAAAGACTAACACAACATTTAGAGCCCTCACTGCCACCAATATATTCTGTGTATGTAGACATCAGAGTAGATACTGAGATTCCCATGCAGAGTCAAAGGAGAGAACTGAGCAGCCTAAAGTGATTTGTCTTACTATAGAGAGAAAAGGGGGAACCCTTACAATTTATAACCGAGAAAGAAGGGAGCGGGAGGAGAAAGTACTTGTCAATTGTGGTACCGGTGCTAATGAGGCTGAGTCTCCTGGAAGTGTCCCATATTTCAAAGTTTTTATCACTGCCTAAAACTGCTGCAACCTTAAAAAAAACCCCATAACTAGTAACTTTATTCCAGTGCTAAACCTCCCTTGCTGCAATTTAAGCCCATTGCTTCTTGTTGTATCATCAGAGGTTAAGAAGAATACATTTTCTCCCTCAATTTTGTAACACCCTTTTAGGTACTTGAAGACTGTTATGTTCCCTCTCAATCAACTCTTTTCCAGACTCTCCCACTCGTTCAATCTTCCATCATAAGTTATGTTTTCTAGACACTTAATCATTTTTGTTGCTCTTTTCTGGACCTTCTCCTATTTGTCCACATCTTTCTTAAAATGTGGCGCCCCCAACTGGACACTATTCCATTTGAGGCCTAATCAGTGCAGAGTAGAGCAGAAGAATTTTCTCATATTTCGCTTACAACATTCCTGTTGGTATATCCCAGAATGATGTTTGCCTTTTTAGCACTTGTCACATTGCTGACTCATGTATAGCTTGTTATCCACTACAACCCCCTAGATCTCTTTCTGGAGTACTTCTTCCTAGACAATCATTTCCCATTTTGTATGTGTGAAACTGATTGTTCCTTCCTAAGTTGGTACTTTGCATTTGTTCTTATTGAATTTCATACTATTTACCTCAGAACATTTCTCCAGCTTATCTAGATCATTTTACATTTATAATCCTATTTTCCAAAACACTTGCAATCTCCTCCTGGTTTAGTATCATCCACAAATGTTACAAGTGTACTCTCTGTGCCATTATCTAAATCAGGGCTACTCAACATTGGAAGCTCTGAGGGCCACAGTGATACTCTCAGCACATGCCGAGGACCACAACTTAAGAGTGAGAGTGTGTATATACACACGCACACAAATAGCTCTTCACGCTGACAGGCATGAATACAAAGATTAAGTCAAGACTCCACAACACACAGACCCCATTTAAGTCAGTTCTGCAGATATTAATCAAATGCAATATTTACCTGATTTCCACCCATATGACAGCACTTTTAATGAGCAATGACAGTCTAGAGATTTAACTATTAAAACACATATCAACCCACTACCATAAACCCAAATTGCACTGGGGGCCGCAAACAAACGGGCCGCGTGTTAAGTAGCCTTAATTTAAATAATTGACAAACATATAGAACAGAACTGACCCCAAAACTGATCTTTGAAGAATTTCACTTATGTCCTTCCAGCATAACTGTGAACCATTGATGATAATTCTCTGGAAATGGTTATCCAACCAGTTATTCACCTACCTTATAGTAGCCCAATCTAGGTTGCATTTTACTAGTTTTTTAACAAGAAGGTCATGCAAGACTGTATAAATGCTTTACTAAAGTCTACATATACCACATCTACTGCTTCTCCCTTATCCACAAGGCTTGTTATCTTATCAAAAAATGCTATCAGGTTGGTTTGACATGATTTGTTCTTTATTAATCCGTGTTGACTGTTACTTACCACCTTATTATCTTCTAGATGTTTGCAAATGGATTCCTTAACAGTTTGCTCCATTATCTTCCCAGGCACAGAAGTTAAGCTGACTGGCTTATAGTGTCCTTGGTTGTCCTTATTGCCCTTATTATAGATGGATACGATATTTACGTTTATGGAATCTCTCCCATCTTCCGTGACTTTTCAAAGGTAATAGTTAATGGCTCAGATATCTCCACAAATTAGCTCCTTGAGTATTCTAGAATGCATTTCATCAGGCCCTTGTGAATTGAAGATATCTAACTTATCTAAGTAATTTTTAATTTGTTCTTTTCCTATTTTAACTTCTGAACCAACCTCATTTTCACCGGGATTCACTATATGGGGTATCTATTCACTACCAACTTTCTTGGTGAAAACTAAAAGAAAAGACATTAAGCACCTCTGCCAAGTCCACATTTTCTGTCATTGTTTTTCCCTCTTCATTTGGTAATGGCTCTACCCTAGGGCTACTCAATATGCGGCCCGCAGGTGGGAGCCAAAATAACAAAATAGTCTATATCAGGGGTTCTCAAACTTTGTGATACCGTGACCCCCTAAAATGCTAAATGAATTTGTGCCCCCCCTCCCCAGCCTCACTGGTCCACGAGTAAAGAGGGAGTTGGGGGTCAGCGGGGCTGGCCGGGAGAGATCGGGCGCGGGAACCGGCTGGCAGGAAGCAGGGATGGTGTGGGGAGGGGAGGGTTGGGTGCAGCGGGGATGTGGCTGGGGGAGATCAGGAGGAGGAGGGGAGAACTGGCCGCCGGAAGCGGGTCTGGCCGGGGGAGTTGGGGGGTTGTCGGGGGGCAGCGGGCTGGCCGGGGAAGATTGGGAGGAGAAGTGGGAGAGAACCGGCTGGCTGGGAGGGGACCAGGGGGAGCGCAGATTGGCTGGGGGGAGTGGGACTGACCCGGGCACGTGCAGATCCCAGGGTGCTGCCTGTCCTGCGCACAGTCCCAGCGAAGCGCAAGTGAGTTCTGTTGCGGCTCCACCATGCGCTTGACCGGTGCTCAGGAGCACATATAGGGCTTCCCCTCCTCCCCAAGGTGTCACACAACCAGAGGCTCTCAGTGCTCATTGCGCCCTGCCTTCCAGCCACTCCGCCCACCCCCACCAGGCTTCTGTCGGGCGCCCAGCTGGAAAACCAGAAAATACCAGACATTGTACATGTCCAGTATTTTCTGAATTTTTTTTTACTAGACAGAGGGCCCAAAAACTGAGGGCCCCTCCCCAAGTTGCTTGTGACCCCCCTGGGAGTCGCAACCCACAGTTTAATAAACACTTGTCTATATAATGGTCTCCTGTTGATATGCATTTTAGTAGTTAAATTCCTGGACTGTCATTGCTCATTAAAAGTGCTGTCTTATGGGTGGAAATTGGGTAAGTATTGCATTTTATTAATATCAGCAGAACTGACTTAAATGGGGCCTGTGTGTTTTGGAGTCTTGCTTTAATCTTTGTATTCATGCCCATCGGTGTTAGAGAAGCTATTTGCATATATATTTGAATGTATATGCAACCACAATTATGTTGCGGCTTGCGGCATGTGCTGTGAGTATCATTGTGGCTGGGGCTTCCAAAGTTGAGTAGCTCTGTTCTACTCTCTTTGGACTTCCTTTTACTTCTAATATATTTGTGGAATGTTTTCTTGTTTCTCTTTATGTCTTTAGCTAGTTTGAGCTTGTTTGTGCCTTGGCCTTTCTAATTTTACTGCTACATATTTTTGTTAGTTTGTATTCATCCTTTGTAACTTTACCTAGTTTCCACTTTTAGTATGACTCCTTTTTGATTTTTAGATCATTGAAGATCTTCTGCTTAAATTAATGTAGTTTCTTGCCGTACTTCCTATCTTTCCTACTCTGTCAAATAGTTTGTTCTTGCACCCTTTATGTCTCTCTGAAAAATTGCCACCTGTCTTCAACTGTTTTTCCTCTTAGACTTACTCCCTATGGGACCTTACCTACCAACTCCCTGAGTTTTCTAAAGTGTGTCGTCTTGAAATCCATTGTCTTTATTTTGCTGTTTTCCTTCCTACCATTCTTTAGAATCATGAACTCTATCATTTCACAATCACTTTTAACCCAACCTTCCATCCACTTTCAAATTCTCAACCAGTTCCTCCCTATTTGTTAAAATTAAATCTAGAACAGACTTCTTCCAGTAGCTTTCTCCATCTTCTGAAATAACACCCCAAGAACTTATTGGATAATCTGTGCCTTGCTATCTTGTTTTTCCAACAGATGTTTGGATTGAAGTCCCCCATCACCACCAAGTCCTGTGCTTTGGGTGATTTTATTTAAAAAAAGGGGGGGGGGGCTCATCCACATTTGCTTCTTGGTTAGCTGGTCTGTAGTAGACCCTTACCATGATATCACCCTTGGTTTTTTACCTCTTTTGTTCTAAATTTTTATCCTTAGACTCTCCAAGTCTGTCTGAGTTCCATCTCAGCTTCAGTCCAAATGTATACATTTTTAATATATAAGGCAACACCTCTTCCTTTTTTTCCCTGACTGTCCTTCCTGAGCAAGCTGTACCCTTCTATACTAATATTCTAGTCATATGTATTATCCCAGTCATATGTATTATATATTAGTGAGAGGCAAATCCAGGGAGCAAGTTCTGTTGCATGTCCAATTCACACTTCAATCATCTGGATCTCATCTTTAACAAAAGGAAGTTGACATTAATACCCACTCAAAAAATTGCGTTCATTGGAGCCCTATTAGATTCTACAAGTTCAAGAGCTTTTCTGCCAGATGAATGATTTCAAGCAGTTTGTCTCCTATATCTGACACTACAAGTTGAACCTTCAACTATGGGCCGTGCATGCTTAAAATAACTCTGTCATTTGGCTGCATGCACTTGTATAGTCCAGCATGCAAGATCACACTTCATTCTCCTCAAAGTATGATTGAAATTGGCCTATCGGCCTCAGTTGTCAATCACTGGACTCCCAATAGTGTTGTTCAGAGATATATGCCAGGTTGTTTCCTTTGCTCATCCTCCACTGACTAGGACTGTAATCACCAGTTTTGAGACATTTACAGTGTTGCTTGTCATCCTTTGGGATCACGTAAGGGGGATAGTGGTTCATATATTCACTACAAATATTGCTGTGTCGTTTTATGTGAACAAGTAAGGAGGAGCCCACTCCAACTAGCTTTTTCAGGATGCAATAAAATTCTGGCTGTTCTATATCCAGGACAGTATCTTTCTTCCAGAAGTTAACTTAACTAAGGTTCAGAATAACTTGGCAGATCACTTCAGTGAGAATATTTCCCTGTATCACAAATGGTATAAGTCCGAAGTGCTAAGATCCATCTTTGAAACATAGGACATTCCAACTATCAATCTGTTTACAACAAACACAAGACATGCCATCGGTTTTGCTCTTGAGTAAGTCTCAATCCATGCTCCTTAATTGACGACACCTAGCTCAACTGGGAATCAGCTCTCCTGTATACTATCTCCCTGAAAACCGATCATCCCAGAGGTCATTCTGAAGTTGAAATTGGATCATGGCAGACTAATTTTCATCACACTAGTTTGGCTGAGATGACGTTGGTTCTCCGACCTATTTAGGCTGTCGGTTTGACCTCCCATAGCTATTCCTCCTTATCCCAATCTACTCATTCAACATCAGAGTCGAGTTTTGCATTCAGCACTCTCCATCTTTTGCATGGATGCTGTCTGGCTAGATGAAGAACCCTGTTTGAAAAGTGTTCCTCAAATGTTGCTTAACAATAGGAAGCCCTCTACTTAGGCAACATTTTTTTGCTACATTGAAGTGATTTTTTTTAGTGTGGTCGCTAGATTGGTATTCATAAGAGCATAAGAATGTCCATACGGGGTCAGACAAAAGGTCCATCTAGCCCAGTATGCTGTCTTCTGACAGTGACCAGTGTCAGGTGCCTCATCTTCCTCTTGGTCTTCATGCTGAATGAATTGAGGGATGGTGGGGTGATGCTACCCTTAAATAGTAAGGGGAGCAGGTAAGGCCACAAGGCATAAATATCACTCCTACAGGTACTTTTCACAAAGCTCTCCAGCTTCTGTGCACTGGGTTCATGGACACATGAGTGGTATACATGTCTGCACACACATATCAAAGAACAACTGTTACAGGTAAGCAACCATTTTTTACAGTGTATTCACATGATATAATTTGTAAGGATGTTAAAAAGCATTTAATATGGCAACTGTGTAGCCACTAAAATTCTTAGCAGTTACATAGTTACATGCACTGTGGGCTCTGTAGTATAAAGCTTACATAAGCTGGCAGCTCTTGCCTGCCAGGATCCCAGGGGGGAGGAAGGTTCGCTGGCCTGGTGCAGTGAAGCTGCACTTCCCCTGGAGCAGGCTGAATGAGACCATTAATGGATAAGTATCAGCTTATTGGTTAAACAGTTAGTCAATTAAGCTCTAACATCCCTAATAATTTGTCTTTTTTTTTTTTAATGTTTATAGCTATACAGCTGCCAGTGGTTTACTTACATTTGGGTTACTAGAATGTTGGTGAGAATTATATTAACACATTTGCACACTTTCAATTAATTGAATTCTAAGATACTCAGTTATTGCTGTTCAGCATATCTGATATTACAGTGACCAGTGTGGCTTTAGTGACTCGGTTGTCCTTGGCAATCTAAAATGTGTCTGTATTGATGACATGGGGTGGATATACCCTGCACTATAAGAGGGGGACTGAAAGGCCTATGAGCAGAGGAAGCACCACCCATTTCTACCAATTGGACATGCTCCTGGTGTGGGGACTGTATAAAAGGCCTGGGGACATCCCATTCAAGGGAAACTGCAAGCAGCAAGGGAGCTCAGGCAGGAGCCTCTGATCCCTCCGGGTCATCACAGCTGCCCTCTGAGCAGCAACCCCAGCAGCAGCCACTGCCGACAGAGGAGCACGCCCCACAGCCACCGCTCCAGCCACCGCCGCACCTGGAGCAGCCAAACCCCGCTGCAACCCCAGAGACTACCCTGACCAAGGGGAGAGTCAGCCATAAGCAGGTACCCCGCACTGCACTCCGAGGACTGAACTATCTACCAGAGAGGGTAGGGAGTGGCCCAGGGCAGAGAGTTACCCCTCCGGGAGCTCAGCATGTTTCAGTGGCTTTCCCACTGAATACAGTGCTTTCTCCAAAGCCAAAAGGGCCCTAGGTTGGGGAGCCCACCAGCATCTCAGACCTCTAGGCCACTGAACTTTTGGCCTAGGCCCAGAGTGGCCATATTTCCCCAGAGAGAGGGGCACCGAACTTTCAGACTAGGCCACGAGGGTCGTACTTTCGCTAGGAGAAAGACACTGACCTGTGAGATTGGTCTCGCAGGGGTGACACTCCCCGTGACGGGGAAGGGGGGCGGGGGAAAAGGGGCATATACCCCATGACAATTGAGGAAAGACTGCTATGTAGTTTGCGCAACATTAGTTGTGCCATACACAGTCTATTAGCAATATTGCCACCTTATTAATGCTGGAGGAGAGTTTGGAGTAAAAAAGATGGACCCTCACCCACTACGGCAGGGTGGGCAATAAACAGCCTGTGGGCCAGATGTGGTTCCCCAGGATTAGCCCCTGGCAGCACTTTATTTACCTGCTCATCTGTTATGGCCACTTGTAAGTCCCATTGGCCCCCGATTGCTGTTTCCAGCCAGTGGGAGCTGCAGGAAGCAGTGTCCTGGTTCACACCACTTCACACAGCTCCCTTTTGCTGGGAACGGCAATCCATGCCGAACAGGAGCTGTGAGTAGCTGTGCCTGTGGATGAACAGGTAAATAAAATGCCGGTAGCCTGCCAAGGGCTAACCCTAGTGAACTGCCTCCAGGTTATTTTCTACCTCTGTGCTAGAGCAATCTTAATGATGTAGTGTCACAACAGGATTTTGTAATGAGGGATATGCTCCTCAAGAGGACTGCTTTTTCCAAAGTCATAGTGAGATAAATACAACAGCTATGCAATTTTACATTATGTATCTGGTTTATAGGGATGGGCCTTCTGGAAAGGACATATGGACTCATGGCTATAATACATGATGGGAGTTGAAGTCTGTCTCTTCAGCTTTTGAGAGTGGTTCTTAAGGTGTTTCTCTCTCCTCTCTGAGGTATGTTGTTTAAGCCATGACTGAATGTTACAAGAGCGTATTCTATATTACTGTGTTTGCCTCTATTACAAGAGTTATACATGTTTCTATTATTAGAAGGGTATGTTAGTTTAGGTATTAAGTACAAAATAATATGTTTAATACATCAGTGAAATGGAAAAAGGAAGTTTATTGCTACTTTATGGAGTGGGGATAAAACACTGCATTCCTGAGCTATGTTCTGTTTAAACTTACAGATCATTGTATAAATACTAAGAACTGAAGCAGCAGCTGATTATACAGAGCTGTATTTTTGCTTTAACTCCTTAGATTTACGGCTGCCATAATTCTTGCTCCCTTCATTCCAGTCCCTTCCCAGGCTTTCGAGTTGAAGTACTGCTGATATTTTAACATAGATGAATAATTTTGTTTTGTTAAAAGGTCTTTGTTAAGTTACATGGTAGCACAGGTAACATCTGAGGGCAATGGAGGTTGTCTTAGTGTTTTGTCAATGGCTTTGCACTGTTAAAACAAACGCTCCTACCCACCAGTGTTCCCTCTGCTTTTTTATGTCCATGTGTGGAATGAATTTGTTATGTGCACCAATATGGGCATATGTGGCACATCACCTCCAGGTTGGTGCAAGTAACAAAATTAATTCTGTATATGCATGATCGGTGGCGAGGGTGGGGTTGGGAGATTTGGGGTGTGGCAGGGGGCTCAGGATAGGGAGGGATGAAGGATCTGCCTGGGGATGTAGGCTCTGGGGTGGAGCTGGAGATGAGGTGTTTGGTGTGCAGAAGGGGGCTCAGGGCAGGAGGTTGTAGTGCAGATGTGGGGTCTGGGCAGGAGTTAGGGTGCAGGAGGGGGCTCAGGGTTGAGGTGTGGGGTTCAGAAGGGAACTAGGGTGGTGGAGCATGCTCAGGGCTGGGGTGCAAGGTCTGGGAGGCATTAGGGTACAGGAAGAGGCTCAGAGCTGGGGCTCTGGATTGGGCTGTTGGGTGCTTACCAGGAGTAGCTCCCATTTGGTGGGGTGGGGAACAGATGGCTGTGCGTGGCCCATCCTGGGCCATGCTGACTTGCAGACCCCACCCTCGTCTGCCCCTGCAACTGTCCCCCGCAACTCCTGTTGGCTGTGATTCCTGTCCAGTAGGTGTGTGTGGGGTGGGGGATAGAGCCTCCAGGAGACAACAGTGCGGGGACAGAGCTTGCAGTGACATAGCTTCAGCCGGGGGGGCAGTGCAGGAAGAGTGAAGGAACATGGGGCTTTATAGGCTGCAGTCCCTAAAGCCCCTTTTTTAATTTGGCCCTGCTGTTCAAGCTGTAGGAGCGCATGTGTCCTCCAGTCCCAGCAGGGAGCTGCTGTGGTTATAAAAGTACAACCTGAATGCTCCAGTTAACATTTATTGGTGTATTTTAAGAATCTGTGAAATCAAACACTTGTGCTACAGGAATAATCCATACATGTTAGTGACACATTTCCTTACCCTAGGAACGTAAAACTTTCCTGTTGGATCAAACCTGTGGTCCATCTAGTCCAGGAGCCTCTGACTGTGGGTAGCCTCAATTGCTTCAGAGAAAGGTATAAAAACTGCCACAGTAGGTAGAAGTGGCATAATCTGCCTCCTCAGTTTTGTCTTATTTTAGACTGTAATGTTCAGCTATCGGTTTAAGCCCTGAAGCACAAGGTATTTTTTTCTCCCTTCTGTAGCTCTCATTTTATTAATTGCTTTTATAACTCTGGACAGCATGAAACTTCTCATTTTACATCTTTAGGACAAAGAAACAATTGACTACATTTTTCCCTGGAGCACCTCCGGTTACATAAATGGAGTCACTTTAGGGATGAATTTGTGTAATCGTGTTTCCCAGAAACACATAGGTATAAATAATTGGTAGCTTGGCTGGAGATATGGGGAGGAGAATTCTGACTGCCCTGTCAAATTAGAAAATTTAAGAAAGTGCTAAGCAAATGTTTCACAATGAATTTCAGCTGCATATCACTCTGAGTGTCTTTTTATTGTCATCCTTTGACATGATGAATACTTACAGCAGTATGTTTAAAAAAAAAAAGATACAGTTAAGTCTCTTGTTTAATTCTTGGCATCACTGCATAGCAGTCACAGCATTTTCACACAATCCGTTACTTCCTTTCAGCTTGTTACCCATGAAGCATGCACACACTTCATAACTGAGCAGAATCCTAGTCCAACTGAAGTCAATGGAAGGTGATTTCACTTGCACCAGGATTTGGCTCATATAGTTGTATTAGGTATGTGTATGGCTATGTACAACATTTTACAATAAACATGACATTTCTATACAATTTTGTGTTTAAATTTAACGGAATATACTGTACATCTAAGTCAAACTTTTTATGCTCTGCATGTAAAAGTTTGTGTACCTAAAATATAGGATGGATTATAGCAATAAATGATTGTTTGCACCAATGGGAAGGTTAAATGTACAGTCTTGCAGTACAGGCTATGTACAACATTTTACAATAAACATGACATTTCTATACAATTTTGTGTTTAAATTTAACGGAATATACTGTACATCTAAGTCAAACTTTTTATGCTCTGCATGTAAAAGTTTGTGTACCTAAAATATAGGATGGATTATAGCAATAAATGATTGTTTGCACCAATGGGAAGGTTAAATGTACAGTCTTGCAGTACAGCTTGGACCGCCTCCCCCCCCCCCCCCTCTCTCTCTCTCTCTCTCTTTTTTTGTGTTTGAATGGTTGGTTATTTCAGATGTAGTCTTCTACTGGAAAAACAAAATTAACAAAAAGCTAGCCTTTCTGCATAATTACGAATGAATTACAAATAGTGATCTTCTGTGACATAGGTCAGGAAAAAAGGGCCATCTTGTATCCAACTCAGTTCAGTGACACAGACTGGCTAGAAGTGGGAAATAAATTGTGATTTGTATGCTGACTGACAGCTTGTGTTGTGTTGTGTTCAGCAGTGACTGGTATCAGTGTTCCCACTGTAGCTGTTGGGCTTTTTCCTTGGTTTTATCTGTCTTAGACTGTGGATTCTACTAACTTTAAGGACTAGTGGAGTCTCTGAGATGCAATGTGAAAGATGATCCATTTTATTTAATGTGCTGGCTAATGGTGTACGTAGAATTTCTGTCATACACTCTAACAGTATAGATTTAATAAATTGCACAAATTGAAACAATCATATAAATTAAAGAGCTAGTCAGTCATCTATTCCACTTGCTGTCTGAAATCAAATAGGCTCCATTTTGGTTGGTTTGAACCTTGCTTGGTAATTATTTAGTGTAGATGTTGTTTGAAGAATGCTGTGCAGTACAGTCCTAGCTTGTTTAACTCACATTCTGTCCTTTTGTTCTGATACATGAGAATGCTGACCAATCTTGCTGTGTTTCGGAGCTTGAGAATCTTATGTTATTACCTTTTTAGTGCTCATTTGTAGGCTGTCTCCTTCGTCTAAATCATGTTTTATCTGAAGCCTGGAGGTGCTCCACAATTCATAGTAAATAAGCTGGAAAGCCAGCTCCTGTCATTTTTGTCCAGTCACCAACTCTGCTGTGCTGATAACATGGATTCTAAGTCTAGCCATGTTGTGCACTGTGGCCTACTTTCTTGTGTTTTGCTAATGAGTCCTTTGGCTGCTACTGTAACTTATTTGCTTTTATTACATTTGTTTTGTCTAAAATATGAAGAATGTCTTAGGCTAAAACAGTGACCCGTCACAGTCTCTCTCTCTCATGTTTGCTTCTGTATTGCTTTCCTTTTGCTTTCATTAGTGGTATAATGGTGATCCTCTGCTGCTAGTTATGTCTCTGATAGAGCAAAAACACAGGCTTATACATTTTATTAAATCAAGGCTAATAGTCCAATAACACTATTTTCCCTGATTTAATTAATTTCTAATTACAGCATTCACAGCCACAACAGTACATAATGTTTAAGAAAACAAATTTGGCTTTTAACCAAGATAAGTGATGTCTATTTTTTGTGTAACAGTATGCTTTGAGAGCTCATCAACCTTTTGTATTTTTTGTGTGTGCATTCTTCAGCATATGCTTCTAAAAAGCAAACTCAGCTGGAAAACTTTTGAACTTGAGCTGTGTAGAGAGAGAGCTCTTAGAAGTAAGAGTTCATTTACATAGGTCTTCTATAAAGTGTCAAATGCAGCTAATTGGACAAAAATCCATAGTCTCCTCCTCTGTGCAAGTGTTTAAAGTTTTCCCTACCTTTCCATTCTATTGCTCTATTCCCAGCCTGGGTTTTTACTAGTATTTTTGTGCTCTAAACAAGACAATATTTATCACATGAATCAACAGTGTGTATTTAATTGCTCATGGTGTTGAACAGAGTGCTTTAAATGCAGTCAGACATCTTCCATGGGGAAGATAAATCGTGGCACTCACCCAGAATTTCTGCTTTTCAACACAGAGCTCCAAACTGTCTGATTGGCAGGCACTTTTCCCCAGGACTCATTTCACAGCCCTCTTTTGATGTGAACTGGTCTGGAGCACCTGAGGCAAACTGGCTTGTGTAGACCATGCCTAGTGTAATTCTTTTGATTTACCTATCATTTAAGTAGATGCTGAAGCCAGCCTGAATTTCTTTCAAATATTGTTTCACTTGTAAAGGTTATTGTTTGCAACTTTTCAGGTGTTTGCTTTTCAGATTCATGAAAAGAAAATCCTCATTTTTTCTTAGCAGCTTTTTGAGTATAAAATAGGAACTTTATAAAGGTTGACATGAGTAACAGATCTTAGTTACAAAAGTCCAGATTGTACTGTAGACATCACAGAAGATGTCTAACTGTGGAAAGATCTGCCCTGAACCTATTTTCTGCCAACTCCTCAGAACAGCAATTAAGGTATAAAATGCCACAATGATCTGACTATCTCTGCTAGCACCGAGCAATAGAACAGCTGGGAACATACAATATTGAATAGACTTGTTTCATTTAAAACTATAGAATAGCTTTAAAAATATTCTTCTATGCTAACTCGAGAGAGGTTTACATTTATAATTAAAAGGGAAAAGGCATGTTCCCCCCACTTCTGGAGAAATTTTAAAAACCTGCCTATATACTAAAGTGCTGTTTATCCATCAATGGCTCTGTGTCCTGACTTATTCCAAACCTATGGAATGTCAGGAGGAAAAATAGGCCCCTAAAAGAAAGTAGTAGTACTGTTTATTGTATAGACAAACAATAGAAGGGGCATTGGTTTTGATCAGACGATGCAGTGGTTGAAAAGGTGACATGTTTTGGAAGGGAACATACCCTTATTCCACTACTAGGCAATTCTCTGAATTGCAGGCACTATAAGAAGGTCATATAGCAAAATGTGATGTGTGTCCTGCTTGGAAGGTTCCAGGAAGAAAAATGTTCTCATTGTCCATTATCTACTGCCACGCCCAGGAGAGGGCCATGCTATCTGATCCAACATGCTTCATGTGTTATCTAAATTTCACCTTTACTATGTGCTTCAGTTCCCTTCTTCAACAATTGATTCTACACATATATTACTCTTTATATGCATAGCCTTCTTCTTTAGCAATACTAAGATCATACTCTTAATTTATTGGATCTGTTATGAGTATGAAAAATTTACTTCTAACATTATTAATCCTTTTTATAATTAAAATATCCCTTATTACTTTTCACTGAGTAAACATATCTTGTTCAAATAGTAAATACTAAATTTATAGAGACCATGTTGTCTAATGTTGCTCTCTCGCCCAGGCAATCACACCATCTAATATGATTGTACCATATGGAAAAGGAAGACAATTTTCTAACAGAAAACTTAAGATTGACACAATTTTGAGTAGAAAAATAGTTATGTAAAAGCATTCCCCTAGCTCTCAGAATAACACATTAAAACCAAACAATAACATGAGAGATTTCCCTAGGTAGAAGTCCCGTCTGCCTGGAGGAACTGAAGGAATGGGTTCCAATGAATGCCCAACAGACGATGTTTATGGTGTAGGTTTCAATGCATGTCTTTCAAAAAATATTGGAAGCTAGGAAGGCAAAGTGCCACATAACTATTGCCTGTAATAATTAATCAGGAACTTACTAAATTGGCTATGCAGTATTTTTCTTCATTCAGTGAGATTTTAAAATGATTAAAGCCGGGTAAAGTATTTTTATTAAGATAGGAGAAAATATCTAAAAATGTATGTAAAAACTAAAAAATAAATAAATAAAAAGTGAAATTTCAGGTCTGCATCATTTGAGAAAGCAAATAGACTCTAGAACTGCCAGAATGCCTAGATTAAAACCAGCATCCAAACCTCACATGGATGAGTTTGGCATTGTAGACCTCCCTGTTACTTAATAAAAATTAAAACTCATGAATATATGTTTACCAGTTAGAACTGCAAAACGTGTACTATTGCTGTGGTTTATTTTAAAAACTATATATCTTCAGGCTTTGTGAAGCATCTGATTAGACCATGTACTATGCCATGGAATAAACGATATGAGTTCGTTTGGAATGAATGTGAAGTTTTCAGAAAATGCCCTGACAGGTTTCATTCTTTTAGAACCTCTGCTGGAAGGCTGAAAATGGAAAGGTAGTTCAGGTATGATATGATTTGGACAGCTAGCAGTGAAGGATGCTAAAAGTTAAGGCCTTTACCTGCAAACAATAGTGTATTAATAAATTCTATACCATATTTACAAATGCTTTCTCTTGTATTAAAACTAACAGTATTCTGTTCACAGTGCCATTGTTTATACAGGTAGCAATCCCACAATACTTCAGTATTTTGGCATGGAAATCAGTAGCGCTTTGTATTTACAGAAAATGTACACATGGATATAAACATGTAATTGAAACAGAGTCATCAGAAAGATCTGGTAATGTCACAAAGGTTTAGGCTGTACAACATCTTCCCTTTCGTTTGCTAGGAACCACTGTTCCCTGCAGTGAGAAGATGTTCCTTTCTTATCTAAAGTGGCATAAAAATGATTAACCAAATGAGGCTTGAGCTGTGTGTACATGAGTAACTTCAGTCCAAGTTCTCTAGATCTGTTGTCTAGTGCACAGCATACAAAAGTTAAAAAGGTTTTTTAATTATTAAAATAATGAGATTCTCTCCTCTGTGCACTCTCACTCAGCCAATGTCCTCTGAGTTCCAAAGATGCTGGTAATTTAATGCGCAGTCCAGCTGCCAGACTGAAAACTATGTATGGTGCTCTGGGCCTATATACAGCTACCTGTCACAATATGAGCCAAGGTGAATGAATTATGTTGGCAAGAGCACTTCTTTCTCTCCCATGCTTTCTCTCTAATCCTTTCCAGTCAGTTGGTAGCCACTTACTGGCCCAGCTTCATCACTCGTGAACAGAGTTCCTTATTCAAGCAGTCAGTGATCAGAAGTGATGAATGGCTTCAGATATATGTAGAAGTGTAAGGAAGAAGAGGAAGTGAATTCAAAGGAGCTCAAATTTGAAACCCAGAAGTAGATGGGTTTATTCATCAGGGCCCTTATAGCTTCTGCTTCCTTTTTTCTTCCCTTTCTGCATTGTTGATGATGGCTTTGCAGCTCCTGACGATGTGGCTTACTTTTGTGACTAGCAAAGAGGAGACAGCAGTACTATAAGAAAGAGTCAAAACTGGCACTATGGGATGTCACCTTCATTTAAAGTCTGCTCTTCATTTTCAGTCACTTGACCTGAGTGGTCATTGCTCCTGCTACTGCTGTGTTGCTTGTGGAGAAAACTCCTCCACTTGGCCTTGTTCCTCCTGAGATGGCTTAGCATATTTTCAGAAAGGGGAGTGTCTCCTGTAAACCTGGCCCATTCCTCAAAGAGTGGCTCTACAATGTAGGTCATGAAACCTGGGGAAACACATGAGAGAAGACATGTAAGAATCAGTATCATCCACCAAATGCCTTTCCCTGAATTTTGGGTATATAATGTGCACTGAAAAAAGTCACAGAACCCTAGAAACAAGTAACAAATAATCCCCTTGTTCAGACTCTTAAACTGAGAGTTATGGAATATTTTTTTCCTCTAGGACTATTGCAAAGTCAGGTTGGCTGGCTATGTGTTTATAATAATTTAAGTCTGTATAACATAGCAATCTTTTAAAGCAATCTTCACACAATGCACAGTCAACCCGTGGAACTCCTTGCCAGAGGATGTTGTGAAGATCAGGACTTTAACATGGTTCAAAAAAGAAATTAATGGAGGATAGATTCATCAATAGCTATTGGCCAGGAATGGTGTCCCTAGCCTCTTTTTGTCAGAAGCTGGGGACGAGTGACAGGGGAGGATCAATTGCTGATTATATCTGTTCTGTTCATTCCCTCTGGGACACCTGACATTGGCCACTGTTGTAAGACATCATACTGGGCTCGATGGATCTTCGATCCCAGTATGGATGGTCTAATGTTCTTAATCTCCTGTTCTGAAATCTCTCAAAAAGACTCTCGCACTTACTGTGTACAAGTCTATTCTACCGAAATTAGACTTCTTTTAAACAGCTGACTTTTATTCTGCTCTTGAATGGTTGCTCAAAAGAGGTTTCACTTTACTTGAATTTGTATATACTATGTGAATCATGACTTCTATGGTCTAGTTCTGAGCTGTACATTAATGGAGTTATTTACAAAGCTTTAATCCACGTGCAAATCCCCAACTCAGAAATTAATTTAGGCTATTATTGGGAAAGAGCTGCAGCAGCACAATTAATGTTTGGTCCTCTGTTTAGTTAGAGGCTGTGGCTCTAGTAACACACATTAATTTAAAAGCTTACAGAATGGTCTTTTTGGGTATAGCAGTGTGCATACCAGGATAGGAGGCTATGACTCTGAATGTTGGGAGAATATCACTCTTCTAAGCCATTGATAGAGGGAGGGGTTCCATCATTCACATCATTTTTCACCCTGCAGCAGCTATAGTAGCACAGTGTGCACAAGCATAGTGAATATTTTAATTATATCTCCAGCTGAGGAGTATTTAATATTTTTACATGATCAAAATCACTTTTGATGGAACCAAAAACAAATTAAGGCTATGATTGCAGTTTGCTCTCAAAAGTGTGTTAACTAAAAGCAGAACCTTAGTTTACGCCTGAAACACTGTTTGTGTAATAATGCAGTATGCAAAATGTTTATATATGTGCACTGTTGACTGGGAGATTCACTACAGATTAAAAGACTTTTGTAAATAAATGAGACAACACAATGCAAGCAGAATGCATCATAAAATATACTCTGTTCTCCAGAGATGAGTAATTTACTTTTACAAAACACCGTTTTTACTACAATTCAGAAGTATTACACATCACTAATCAAGTCTTAATGTTCTAACGAGGCCCTGCTATCACTGTATAGCTTGCTATATTGCTGTTCAGTCTTAGCTGAGAAAAAAGGTAAAACAACCATATTGTGTGAAGTAATGCTGATGGAGTAAAGATTACAAATATATCCCTTTTTGCTCTTCTGTTATATTGACTAATTTTCACAGTAGGTAATATATTTACTAATTTTCACAGTAGGTAATATTCTGGAATGTAAATTTATATATAATTTAATAAACTATATATGTGTATATATTTGAGCTTTTTGCTTATGTATTTTTTTCACAAATCGGAGAAGAAATCACAGTCTCTAAAAAAGGCTCTAAGTTTCACTGAAATAAGAAAAATAAAGGTAGTTAGAACCTGGCATCTGACTCCAAACAGCTTCAGATATCTATTACTTCTCATAGCACACACGTGAATAGTTATGGTTATCCTTGCCTTACAAATAGGGAAACTGAAGCCCAAGAAGGTCAAAGGTCAGAAAACGTGTCTCAAATCTACAGTTAGAATCTGGATTTTCTGACTCCTTGTCCCTTGTTTTCTAGCATCTGGTGGCTTGACTGCCACTCACACATATGGTAAGAGAAAACCACTCTAAGGGAAACACTATTTTGGACAAGCAAACCTATATGCCTGAATGTTGCCATTAATATATAATCCCAACCTCATGAAGGTAATAACTTCCGATATGTACATCGGGAAATAGCCAGGACCACTAAAAATCATTTCTGTGCGTCAGTGCCTGCTGAAAACCAGTGGGTGCTATGACGCATATTGACTGAACCCAATATGAAGAATTGAATATCCCTTGGTTTTTCTAGTATTGCCTTATTTAGCCAGTGCTGACATACTTATTTGTTTTCCTCATGAGAATCTCATAATTTAGAAAGGTCTGTTTCAACTTCACTCTTTGTGAAATCTGTTACTAATGCTGCTGCTCTTTAGGAAAAGATTATTCCAAGTTTCATACCAGCTAAGATGAACTTGATCTCAGTAGTAGAATGAATCAGAGTTGCCCAACTCCAAGCAATTACAAAGGGAGACTCAAAACCATCAATTATTTACAATTATATTTTAAATTTGGTTTAGTGGTTTGGAGTGAGGGAGAAGGTGCGAACAAGTTTTAAATAATTTTTCAATGGTGAATGTTTGGTACAGTATTTGAAAGGTTATACAACTGCCTAGTCATGCATATGGTCTGATATTAGGTGTATTTTGAAAACACTGAGTAAAAATAAACCATTGGGCTGCTGGGTGGCCTACAAACAGTGCCTGATCTTAATCTTCATCCCACTTTCTGGGATGGGAGGACTATGGAGGCAGCAACCAGTTCTTGTTAGGGAAGGAAAGCCTGTGTTACTTTTGAATGGATTCTCCTGTGGTCCCCCTGTTACTCCCCTTGGAGGAGCATGATTGCCATGTGAGAACTTGGAGTATAGGGTTGCCAACTTGACTGGACCCAGATGGACCAGACACCATTTGCAACAATGGTATTGGTCTGTCTGGTCCGATCGAGCTGATGGCTATATTGGAGGAAGAAGAAAAGGGGGGAAATCAGGACTCAGGAAAATTCATGGAAAACAATGAAAGATTGATTCAGAATTCGTAAGAACCATCTCTCTCTGGCTTGCTGACTCGATTACATGCCCATTGCAGCAGGAGTACTGGATTGAATGTTCAGAGGGGATTTTTTTGGGAGGTCAGAATGGGAAGCAGGATTGAGTTATTTTAACTGCAAGGCACTAAAAAGGTTTCATGGAACTCTTTACCTCACTTAGTACTTATATAGCCAACCTTATCACAGCAAACAAGTGGCATATTCCGCTAGGGGACCATGCTAACTGTCTGAACTTGTCTTTGAGAATCATTCATTCTCAGGTGCTGCCATTGTGTCACTCCTCTCGTTTACATTACTGCTTCACTCAGCTTTGCTCTTGGTAAATCTGGCCTGCTTGGCAAATTGGTTTTATTTTCATTTTATGTTACTCCTAGAATTATAGCGTGTTTTTGGAGGCGGGGGAAGGATAAAACTATAGATGTGTCTTTTGCTTAACTTGTGTTGCACCTTCGGGAGTGGAGGCAGGAGGAGAAAGAGACAAAAGCATGAAAAGTTAAGCTTACCAATTTGTATACTAGGTATGGAGTCCTTCTGCTGATTACACAGAGGGCTTATTTCCAATTCAAATTTTTGTTCCAGATCACCTATCGAAAAAGAAAGGAGAACAATATTTTTGCCACTTGGCAATATTGAATATGATCTTTTATTCCTTATAGTATGGATGGAAGAGCAAATCCTAGGAAAATTGAAATCTGTATTAATTCTTACATTTCACCTTCATTGGCTGCCCAGGTGGACATGACAGTTTTAAGGAGAGTCTGAAAATCTGAATATGATCATACAGATCACTTTCATATAGAATCTACAGTTAGATACTAGGTCCTGTTATAAATGCTTAAACAATTAAAACCAACAATTTAAGATGTCATGGGAAATTAAGTAAGCTGATCCTCTGGTTCGCAGAAGTCAGAGAAGGAGGTATCTCCATCCATGACCTGCCATGACAGCTGTAACGCTCTGGGACAACACAAGTAAGAAAATCCAGGATGAAGTTTGAGATGTGGAGAAAGATTGCTGTCAATAGAGGGGACTTGGCTATTGACTAAACTATGAGAGGATATTAGAGGAACCTAAAATCTGAACACTTTTGGAACATACTACAAGACTCTCTTCTTTATAATATAGCTTTTCTTACACAAATAGGAAAGCTTTGAAAATCTGCTCTTAGATGCTTGCCTCTTTAACTCAGTTGAAAGGTGCAGCTACACTAGAAAGTTGTATATTTATTTTCAGGTAATGGTATAGCTGGAGCAATGCTAGCAGTAGTATAATCATGAATATGGATGGGGCTTGGCTATTTCTACCACCATGTGACTACCCTGGAGTGAAACTGCCTATAAAGGCCAGCTATTGCTGACAATTTGGCTCAGTCCTGGTTTAAATTTGTTGTGTAGAGATGAAATTTCAATAAATTCAGTACTCTAGAGCACTCTGTTTGCTCTTCTACCATCTTTACCCTTTTCTTTAGGCTCTGTTGTTATTGTTACAAATAGGATTTAACAGTGATTAAACTCTACTACATCCTCTCTGTGTTGTAGCACAATCTGGCTTGGCCTGTGCAAATTGAGCCAAGTGGTAAGTCGTTACCATGTTAAAAGCCATGTTTAGCTTTGCTCTCAGCAAGCGTTAGCAAATGTTTACAATTAGGTCTAAAAGCTTTGGCTCACCTACTCTGCCCCTCTAAATTGCATTAGAACTTGGCTTCATGGCAAGTATGTTCAGACTATGTCTAGTTTTCCTGCAACTGTAAGTAAAAGAGAAGGAAAAAGCAAGTGTAACACTCTGGAACTGTAGTTACATTTTGGAAAGCAAGAGAAAACAAAAGTGATAGATGTGTAATTTATGAGCAGTACATAACCATGGGGGTTTCAGGTCAGAAAGGATAACTATGACCAGATAAAAACAATTATGAGTCTTGTGGCACCTTAGAGACTAACAGATTTATTGGGGCATACCCTTTCATGCACTGGAGTGGAAGTAAATCCTAAGTCAACTGATGAAGTGAGTTTTACCCACGAAAGCTTATGCCCTAATAAATATGTTAGTCCTTAAGGGTATGTCTACTGACATTATTCCAAAATAACAAAGAACGTGTGTCTAGCAATGTAAGTGACAAGGCGACTACTTGATAAGCATATGCTTATTGGTAGTTGAGCCGTGACTCGACTAGTCACTCCCCCCTGCTTGCTGCCTCTATCAGAGAGAGGCAGCAAGGGGGAGGGAGCAGGAGCCAGTACTGTGGGGAGCTAGCTTAAGTCAGTTCCATCCAGCACTGTCTTGGGAGGAGAGGGGGACAGGAGAGGTAACGGCATAGCTGGGGATTGACATGAGGGGGGATTCAGATGATTCTCAGCTTGCTCCTGGTCCCACCAGCTGTGCCTTTGCTTTTAAGAGCCCTAGTGGTTCTTAATACATTTAAAAGGCAGAGCATAGCAGGATTAGCTTCCAGGCCAGGAACTAACCCCCCTGCAGCTCTGTAGTTTCCCCCCCTTATTGACTAATTGAGCAGTCGATGGAATTTCCATCAACTACTCCATTAGCTGATTACCTGCAATTTAACATCCCTAGCGTCTACACAGCAAGCCATTATTACAAAATAATGTTGAGCTGGAAGACTTTTTACTCTGACTCCTGTAACCCTCATTTCACGAGGAGTAAGGGAAGTTGAAGGAAGTGTGTTCCTTCAACTTCCTGCTGTGTAGACAGCGCCAAAAGTCAAATTAAGCTATTTCTACTTCATAGTTGCATAGCTCAATTCGACTTTTGCCTTGCTGTGTAGATGTGCCCTAAGGTGCCACAGGACTCCTTGTTGTTTTTTCAGATAGAGAGTAATACAGCTACCCCTCTGAGACTTTTCACCAGTGACCAGATAGTATTTAAAGGGGATTCAGATTTTATACAGCTAATGAAAGGTCCAGTGCACAGCAGAACCATCTTCACTGACAGTCTTACAGGGGGGCATCAGGTCAAAGAAACACCTGCTTCTCGTCTATTTCAATTCTTCCTCTTGCCCCTCATTACCAACCTTATGCAAAAGAGGACCATATTTTCTGATCAACATCCAATTTTTGTGGGAGATTTCAGAGGCCGGGGAATTGCGTAGCCGTTTGCAGAGCAAACACCACTTGAGATTAGCCAGTTTCATGCTTGTTACAGTAAGTGTCTAAAAGAACAAAGTGAAAGGAGAATTCAGTATGTCAGAGGGCTGACCTTGCCGGTAGAATTCCTCACAGACCCTTTCACTCCACTGTTTGCTCATCTCCCAGAGCCGGCAAGGATTGCAAATGTCAGCACACTTCAGTGCGATCTGAAAATAAAGGAGAGTAGTGATGGGGAGAAGAAATTATTAGCTAGTGACCGCTCAGCAGTGAATTTATTGCACTCGGTGGTGCTGTGAAACTGCTGGGCCCTGCAAGCTTGCTGCCAAGGTAGATTCAAGAATACATTATAGAAACTGAGCCTTGCCCAGATGTGCTGCTTCAGGAAACAGCATTTATTCAAACCTGAAACAAAACCTTCATTCAGAGACCCGTTATATAGCAGTGAGAACGAGAGAAGCAACACATTCCAAGAGTGCAGAGCCTCTTGGATATGACGGGTGGTGGGCAAGCCAACAAAAGCTTCATGCTGACTTCTGTAGCCTGCCTGCCTTGGCATCCATCAACGAGGACACGAAGAGCCAAGACAGTGTGAAACTATTTGGGCATCACTTCTTTATGGTCTCAGTGAGTGACCTTACATAGCACTTTGATTATGCTTGGGTTTATGCTTGGGTTTTGTGTGTGTGTGTGTGTGTGTGTGTGTGTGTGTGTGTGTGTGTATATATATATATATATGTCAGCTCAGATGGGTCAGCTGTGTTTTTGTTTACTGAGTTAAGCACAGGAACTTCTGGTTTGCCTCTGACTTGGTTTCACCTTGCTACCACTTGAAAGTGCTTCACTTCAGTATAGCCGGGTAGGACTGGCAAGGGAAGAAATTGTAATCAAACTGCTGCTGCTGCTTCTTTGGAAGAGTAAGATATGCAATAATTGGCCTGTCTTGCCTCCATGAAGCAAAATGTCTTCAAGGTCCTTTCTTCCTGCACAAAGTGTATCTACTTGATGAGTTTATTATTAGACTTCATGAAAGATTGGGCAAAATGCTGCTGTAGATGCCAAAGGCATAGGGAATAGCAGATTTCACCTGCAGTAAAAGTCATTAACTCCTTCATAGAAAATAAACAGAGAAAGGGTGCAACTTATTTGGTAGGCCCTGTGGGCTCTAATCAATTAGAAATGGGACTAAAAATCAAGAGACCGGCATTCTAAATCTGGATGGACACCAACTTACTTTGTGACCATGAGAAAAATCACTTAGGTTATCTGAGCCTCAGTTTCCCCATCTGTAAAATGGATATGAAAAGTTAGCTACTAAGGTATGTTTTATAAATAATGTTGAGACTGGTCAGATTAAGCCAACAGACCTTAAAAGGGAGCCTCCTCCCTCGTTCACAAGTATGAGTTTTCCCAGGAAAGAGCACTAGTTTTTCATGTCTTCTCCACTGTGGCACAGGCTGCATTTTGCACCCTCATTTTTTCCTGATCTGCTGTGAAGCACAGTTATAAATCACTGCCTAAACATATCTGGTACACGCAGAAACCAGGCATAAGCCATTTTTGTTCAAGAGGCAAGACAGGCAAGCTATGACATATATTACTCTACTGAAGGAGTGGTGACTTGAATATCATTCCTTCCCTGCTCCCTATCCCTATCATAGCAGTACTTCATCAAAACACTTTTTAAGTTGGCAACAATTAGTTTGTTTTTAACTGATGAGAATAACTTGAGGTGTTTGGCATGGTAGAAGTTATTTAGGAGCAGACAGCTTTGTAGGGTTACTTCTACAAATAAACACGCAGCATACAGCTATCTTTAGTTTGATAGTGAAGGTGATGTAATGAATGTAATGTTCTGAAGATGCCATTAACTACTGCGTTGTGGCTGGAAGAAGCAATTTGAGTCCATTGATTTTTAAAAATTAGATTTGGCTCTTACATTATCCAGAGGAGAACCAAACAGAGAAGCATCTACTGCCCCCTCAATGGTTGGCTCCATGCAGTTGGAGATTAGGAGCATCAACAAAGTGACCAATGCTTGGACATCTATTGGCAACTCCTCTATAAAATGGCAGTCAGTGACTGGTGTGAGACTGAACCTCCTACTCTCTGCTGAAGTAGCAGTTGCCATGACAGTTGAAAATAGTCCAGGGGACAGAGAAGTGGCAAGAGACAAAGTGGCCTGCAAATCAAATGGTGAATAACACTTGATCCTTTGCTGTATTTGTTATAGTCAACATAACACCAGGTACATGGGGAAGTATTGGAGGTACATTTTTGCTTGCTTTGCTGCTGTCATTATTCAAAGCAATTAAGATGGTGCATCATGGATACCCCGAAACTGAACTAACATACTTCAATTAAAAAAAAAAAGTACCTGAAGCATAAAATGTCTATCTTGTGCATCCTCCAATCTCAGATCCTTATTTTCGAGGTGAGCTTTCAACTGGGTCAAAAACTCATTCTGTCTATTGATGTCTGTTGCCAAGATGAGGGAGCCCAGCTGCTGTTCAATATCCTGGCTGTAAGCAAGAAAAATGAGTCCTTTTGAACATGGGATTGTTGAACATCAATGCTTTTAAATCACTTCATAGCCTGTTTCTTTCTTAGTATTACATGACTTGAGCTAGCAGAGGGATTCCACTTAATTGCTCTTCATTGGTCTAGTTTGTAGGAGACCAGCAGTTTAGCTGGCTCTGGGATATCTGTGGAATAGGCAGTGTGGCAGAATAATCATACTGCTGTAAATGGCCTAGGGAGCTTCCACGAGGTATTGTGAAGAATGAAAACTAAACAGCATCAGGTGTCATTAGGTGGGCACAAAACGCATCTAGAAAAATAAATGTCAGAGCCATCCTGTCCATAGGCTGGTTTGGGGTAACTGCCTGAGACCCCATGCTTTTGAGGGCCCATAGCAGCTGCCTCAACTATTTTATGGAGGGGAGGCCTGGTGCAGGAGTTGCTCTCCTCCCCCTCGCACTTACTGCGGTGGCAGGAGGCTCTCTCGGCCTGCTGCATTTGGCTTCTCTGTGGCAGTGGGAAGCAGAGCACCTCAGCCCTACAGTGTTCTGCTTCTCATCACCATGGAGAGGCATGGTTCAGCATGTTGAGAAGGTGGTATAGCAGGGCAGAGCAGGCTGCGTGTTTCTCTGGCTCCTGCCACTGCAGTGAGTGTGGTGGTGGGGGTGACCCCTTCTTCTGACACACTAGGCTCCTGTAATCCCCTGGCTCGCATTGCTGCAGGAGGGACAAAGGATGGAGCAGGGGTGGAGCCTGGTGGAAGGAGTGAGTGGTGGGGTGGAATAGAGGCAGGGTGTAGGTAAGGCCTATGGTGGGGGGGTTGCTCTGGGCCCCAGGCCTGGGACACCACAGGGGGGATTGTCCCAGGCCCTGTGTTCCCCTAGAGATGGCCCTGATAACTGTCATAGTATTTTAGACTGGCAGCCACACAAATGTCAAGGCATTGCACATTATTTCTTTAGAGAGAGACTGAGAAGAAGGAGATTGAATGATTTAGGAGATTACTAATGAAATAGAAAGCCTGTCCTCACTAGATAATCTGTTTGCTTTCTGCCCAAGTAATCAGTGATTAAAACTTAGTATTAGAGAGCTGCTTGAGGGGTTGTCTAAAGAAATTTGTCTCCATCCATTTCCAAAGGATTGTACACACAACTGCAGCAAAAAGCCCAACACACTTCTGTCATCTCCTCCTACATTCAGTTTCTGTTCTTTCTGCTGAGTTCTCACTCTGCTGAGTCTGTCAGATCTGAAGCACACATCTGAGTTTGAATCTGTCTGATCTGAGTGATAGACATCTGAGCATATTTATACTAGGGATGAAACTAGCTACCATTATTAATACTAACTCAGAGCAGGTTTAATTGATATGGTGTAAATAAAGCTTGATGATCGGTTCCTTCTCAGCACTGGGATTCCTAGTGAAGTCCCAGGTCAGGTGCATCCCCAACACTGCCAAGCCAATGTGCTTTGCATCAGCTTCAGGAACAGGTGAGACACTAGCTCAGCCTACAAGCAGCCTTTGGCCTCTCTGCTTGTTTTTAAATCAAGCAATAAAATTGGCTATTGGTTTGTTTTCCATAGAATTTATCAGCATATTTCATGTGGGTGGTACTTACGTCATTTCCTTTGGTAGATGGGCAAGGAGCCTTGATTCTCGCAGCATGCCTATTGTGGATCTCCAGTGATGATTTTCTAACACAGAGACATTCTGAGGAGGAAGGAGGTAAGTAAATAAAAAGACATAGCAGGCAGATTTCTTACACTTAAAAGAGATGTGTAAGGTTTACCAATTCTTATAATTGATCCATCTAGAATCTCAGAATACTAGAACTGGAAGGGACCTTGAGAGGTCATTGACAGGACCAAACACCACCTAAATCATTCCTGACCGATGTCTGTCTTTTACCTGCTCTTAAGTGATGGAGATTCTATAACCTCCCTAGGCAATTTATTCCAGTGCTTAACGCCCCCGTCAGGAAGTTTTTCCTAATGTCCAACCTAAACCTCCCTTGCTGCAATTTAAGCCCATTGCTTCTTCTATCATCAGAAATTAAGGAGAATAATTCTTCTCTCTCCTCCTTTTAACACCCTCTCAGTCTTTGCTTTTCCAAACTAAACCAACCCAATTCTTTCAGTCTTTCCTCACAGTTCATGTTTTCTATATCTTTAATTATTGTAATCCGGTTTCCTGGCATTACCAATGGACCACACCTGACACTGCAGCCAAACCCCCCAAAATCCCAATAAGTACCTACCTAACTTAAATGCTATGTCTATGTCAGTCCTCAGCAATCAGGTCATGCCTAAAGTCAGAAGTCTTCCTACTGGTGAGTACTTCAAACACTCTATATTATTTTTGCAACCTTGGTGTACTAAGGGGACTCCTAAAAAATCACAATAACTTTTGTTTATGAAGCAGCTGCAAAGAAACAAACAATACAGATGAGCTGTTAATTTTTTTTCACAGTGATGTATTTGTTCTGTCTTCTTCTATTTGTTCTTTTGTTCTGTTTTGTTCTTTTCCCCTGCTCTTTTCCTTCTTTTTCATTCCACAAGTTGCCTCCCTTTCCAGTTTCCTTGTTTAATATACATCTTTGTCCATCTTCCCAAGGTCATACATATGGGAAATACTGCAGGGTTCCACCCATGGAATTTTCAGATCATGATCCATCATGTTACATTGCATTTACCAGCTTGTTCTGCTTAGATCTTGCTTTTCTACACTAGTATCTTGTTCTGCTCAGATAGTCCTCACATCTTTTCTTCCCCACATATGAAATGAAATTAAAAAGCAACAATATTTGGAACTGGAATAAGGAAATGCTTTCTTCTGCAATACATTGTCTGTGGAACCCATTGTCACAATATCACTCAAGCCAAGAGCTCAGCAGCTGTTTTTAAAATGGGAAATACATATTGATAAGATACAGCTCCAGAAATGATAAAGGAAGGATTAAAACAAGCCAAGAAAAATTATGGAAGAGATATAAGCCCTCATGATTTAGGACTGCTTAGAAGGTAAGGACTAAGACCTCAAGGTAGCTGGTGTGGCTGAACAAATGCACTGCAGTATTTTAATTATTGACAGTCAGGAAAATAGCTTTCCTTGTAGACAAGTTATTGCCTAGTATAGCTTATTGCACCCTCTGAAGTATTTGGTACTAGCCACTGCGGGAGACCTCACCTGAGGCTAGGCAGCCCATATGTCTGGTAGGGTGTGTCTACATAATACCCTAAACTTGAAATAAGATATGCAATTTGTACTATGCAAATTGCGTATCTTATTTTGAATCTATTTTGAAATTTGTCATACTTACACAGCGCCAAATTTAGAAATAACACACTATTTCAAGCCATCCCTTATCCCTGGTGCAACGAGGTTTCCTGGGATGGTGAAATAGTGTGCCCGTTATTTCGAAAAATATTTCAAAATAACAGGCGGCTTGTGTAGACGCGGGGGAGCTATTTTGGGATACTTCTGGTAATAGCTGTGCAGTGTAGACGTACCCATGCAGAAGAGACGTTCCTTTGCAAACAGAATCTCTAAGTGAAATTGGCAAGATACCTTGTCAGGATCATTTTTCTCTGCTCCCAGACAGGTTGTCACTCAAAATGAAACTGACAAAACAATGGACTTTAACAAAAAAGTTTTAGAAGACCTTGACTTTATAGATGACCTCAACTTTCTATTCAATACAAAGCATGCAAAAAAATCTCCAGGCCTATGTACAATTAGCAGGGTTGAAAATCAACATGGAGAAAACTAAAACCCTGAGTCCCAAGGCAATAAAAAAGACTAACAACACTTTCCAGGACTGGCGTAGAAAAGGCTTAATATTTCACATATTTTAGCAGGACTGTAAGTACAACAGGTGGAACAGATGATGACATTAAAGTCAAAATACTGAAGGCTAGACATGCCTTCTTCATGTTAAAGCTGATCTAGAGAAACAAATCTTGCTTTCCAAACTAAACTTTAATATTTAACACCATTGTGAACTCAGTCTTACAGCATGGCGTTGAATCTTGGAGACTCTTTAGGACTTTATTATCTTAACTCCAGGTTTTCATAAACCTCTCTTTGACAAACTGTCAGTGTCAGATGGCCACAAAAAATCACAAAGAGCTTTGGAGGAGGATGAAATAGAAACTGATAGCACAGGAAATAATGGAACAAAATTCAAAATTACTAGTACAAATATGGAGGAAAGACAATTACTTGATGTGTTTATTTAATGTGTTCTGATTGAATTCTATGTCTTTTTAATGCAACAATATCTGATTTTTAAAATAATCACTTCACACTCAGAAGATATCTTAATTGAGACATCTGTAATGGCTTTCAAGTCTTATTCCTCTGAGGCTATCTCTGATTTGGGGAGTATGACTTGTACTGCAAAGTTCAGATTACTTTTGATATGCCTTACTGTTAATTTAGCTAAATTAAATCTAATCCACTTCTGCAACCCAATTGCCTAATGTTTTTAAATACATCAGGACTGTCTCATATAGTCCTATAATTTTGACTAATCAAAATAATTGTGTCTAAGCAGGCATTTTCACATGCTGCCCATGTGAAAGCCAAGCCCCAGTGTTGCCCCTTCGGCCTGAGGCAGTCCCCCTCCACTCCAGAGCCAGCCCGCTCCTTCATGGCTGTGGCCCTGGACTGGCCCTCTGTGGCGACTGGGGAAGCCAGGCTGCTGAGCCATGCTGCCATGCCACAGCCCCAGCCTTCCCCAGCGGCGGTCCCAGCCTTTGCAGTCAGATGTAAAGGCAGTTTTGGGAAGGCTGTGTCATGAATTTTCACCTGTTTTGTCTGCTTTCACTGCCTAATTCCCAGTGATGGATTGACCGCAGTTCTTGAGAGAGTTCATTCCACAGTCTCAGGCCACCCCTGGAGAAGAGTTTTGACCCCCCCCCCCCCCCACAGACAAGCTTTACTCTCATTGTTGAGTGTTCCATTGTGTCAGAGGAGCAACGTTATCAATCACAGTCTTCGTCTTGGAGCTCTGGATGGTGTTTTGGGTAACCTGTGCCCAGGCCATGGACTGCTTTCAAGGTAAGGACTAAAACCTTGAACTTGTTCATGGTGGCTGGTATGGCTGAACAGATGCGCTGCAGTATTTTGTACTAGTTGGAATTTCCCAAGTGCTGAAGGTTTCATGCCAAGGTGCATTGCATTGCTGTAATCCGGTGACAAAGAAGTTCTTCTGAGGCCAGATCTTCATTCGCCAGGATGAGATTTATAGTCTCTTAAAGTCCATTTTGCAGACCTGTTGTGGATGCCACTGCACAGGCCTTCTACGTGGCTCTCTGTTAGGCCCTTTCCCTGATAAGATTTTCCCCTTGCTCCATGCCTAGTTGTTTTCTTTCAGAGTCCGCAAAAAGGTACCTTATTACAAGGTTTTAGAAAATCAATCTAAATGATGTTCACTGGGTCACCATCGTTTATTACCTTTTACTTCTTAGACACACTCATTTTCTTTACAGAAGCCTGGTTGATTTTGACACAGTCTAACAACATTGTCTATTACTAGTATTATTTATTTGTATTAACATAATGCTGAGGATCCCTAGTCATGGGTCAGAACCTCACTGAGCTAAGTGTTTTATAAACACAGAAAACAAAGACAGTCCCTGCCTCAAACAATTTACAGCCTAAGTCTAAGACCAGAGACCAACAGATGGGGTACAGACAGACCAGCTGGGGAATACAGAGAAACAATGAGGCAATGTTGTCTAAATAGACAAATCAAGATGGAGGAATGGTGAAAACAAACAAGCAATGTGGATAGTGTAACAAAGGCCACAACAATTTTGTTTGTTTTTGGTTAGCTAGGAGGGGATCAGGTAACTAGAGGAAAAAAAGGAAAAGCATGGGAAGGATGGGGCTGAGGAGGACTGTAGGAAGGAAAGATGTGGAATGAAGCTGAAGTGATGAGACACTGAGGAGGGACTGGAAGAGTTGGATGGAGCAAACTATCAGTCAGCACAAGGCAGGGAGAGAGAACATTCTGCAGTTTTGAATGGAGTGTCCAAAGGTCCCTGCTTTATCTGCTTCTGGTCCTATTGGCTGGGGTCTCTGGCTGGCTACACTATATTAAATATTACTTTATCCTTAGACTTTCCATCAGCTTCCCTGGACAGCACCAGATTGATAATTTCTGTAGTCTCTAGCTAGTGATTTAGTCAGTCGCGAAGGTTATGATGGAATTAACACAGTGCCCTTGGGGTCATTTAGGTAAGAGAGAATTCAGACATCTTTTGGGTAGGGATTTTATGGAGACAGTGAGAAATAGAGTCAAATGGAGATAAAGCGTAACTGCAAGAAGCTGTTTGTTTATAGCTTCAGAGAGGCTGTTCTGGGAATGTGCTTGGAGTGCACACATCCTGGCAGGAAGCATGGCATTCTACCCACATGACTCCTACAGAAAGCATTGGGAGGGAACACATCCTGAAGCATAAAACAAAGATGCGTGAAAAGGATCGCACCTGGATGGACAAGACACATGCAATCATGGAGGAAATGAGGTAATTTCAGGGCAATTGGTTTTTTTTATGTTGCTGGAATTTAAATGACTGTTCTTAATTTGTTGTACAGTGCTCCTGAGCAGTGTTCCCTCTAACTTTTTCCCACATGTGTGGAGTGAATTTTGTTATGTGCACCAGTATGGAAGTGGTGTGTGACACATTATGGAAGTGATGTCC